AAGAAAGAAAGAAAGAAAGAAAGAAAGAAAGAAAGAAAGAAAGAAAGCCAGGGTCTAATTTCCTGAATTTGTTAATGTTGCCTAAGGGGGTGGGGGACAGGCAGTGTGACTGGGTAGTTTGATATGAAGAGCTGAATCTGGATTGGAAATTGGTTCCGTTGCAACCACAATGGCCCTCCTGAGGCAGCAAGACTTGGAGCCAGAGGAGAAGGCAACATGGCCATAGAAGCAGAGGCTGGAGCCAGACACTGAAGACAGAGGGGAAGCTGTAAGGCATTACATTGGTGGTCATTAGTCACAAGCCTCAGGGAATGAATAGAGGTGCCTTCCGTAATCACGGTGGCTGCCCCTCTCCAGACTTGAGCTCCTCAAATCTTCTGGAGTTCTGTTTTGGCTCCTATCCTCCCCTGTAGCTATCTGTGATGACTCCAGAAATGGATCCTAATCTGACAGTGTGGCTTTCTGACATCTGTGTTCTCCCCTCCCCTTAGTTATCCTCCTGGACTCCAAAGCCTCCCAGGCGGAACTGGGCTGGACTGCACTACCAAGCACTGGGGTAGGTATTAAACTGTCCCTCCATCCCAAGGACCCTCTAGTAGTAGTTCCAGATCAATCCCATCAGCACCCTGTGTTCACTTAGGATCAAAATGTACCACGGAAACTCCTCACCCACGCTCATGCAGGCAACCTTAAATGCAGTGGGACACACACACACAAACACACACACACACACGAGGAGGTGGGGACTTGCTGGGAAGTGGTTTGGTGGGAGGGGGAGGGGGATAAGAGAATAACAGGGAGATGTGGTTAGAGTACATTAAACATTGGGAAACTTCGAAAGAATTTAACACTTTCCAGTTATTTATTTATTTATTTATTCACTTATGTATTGTGTACATGCACGTTGGTGTCATGGTGTGCATGTGGGGGCGGGACCACCTGTGGGAGTCTGAGCTCTCCACCCACCATGTGGGTCCTGAGGATCAGACTCAGGTCAGGCTTGGGGATAAGAGTCTTTACCCGCCGAGGCAACTCAGCTGCCCATGAAAGAATTTTTAAAGATGCACACAGAGTTCATGTTCTCCAGGGCCCTGGTGTCAAGCCAGAGTGGCCCTTCTAGAAAATATCAAGTCTTCAGTTAGTCAGTCAAATAAACAAACAGGAAAACTGGCTGTGTCTAAGGACAGAAATGTGAGCTCCCTGGAGCAAATGTTGCCCATTGCCTCACACATAGTAGCCTCTGAGAGGCTGTCAATTATTGACGGAGTAGGCAAGGTGGGGGTGGGGTAGAGGTGGGGTGGGGTGGGGTGGGGTGGAAAGGTCACCGTGCCCATCTAGCCAACCAAGCAGCTCCCCCTCTTCAACTTCAGCTTCCTCATCCACAAAAATAAATATCGAGCTTGTTTCTCAGCACATGTGTTAACATTAGGACAGTACAGGAGATCACTGTGGCCCCTGCTCAAGGAAGGCTGCACATTTTCAAAAGAAAAGAGGAAGCCAGCTATGACAGACAGCTTACGTCTATAATCCTAGGACTTTGGAAGCTGAGGGAGGAAATTTGCTGTGAGTTTGAGGCTAGCCTGGGATATACAGTAAGATCAAAGCCAGCCTAGGCTGCAGAATGTTTCAAAAAAAAAAAAAAAAAAAAAAGATTACAACTGGCCTCCTGGCACATGCCTGTAAGCTAAGCTATTCCGGAAGTTGAGTTATGTGGATGGTGAGTTCAGCCTGCCCGATTGAAGCGTGAGTTCAAATACAATCTGGACAACTTAGTTGATGTAATGTCAAAAAAAAAAAAGGGCAAAGGTCTGTGCCCAGCAAGCCCAACGACCCAACGACCTGGGTTCAATCCCCAGTACTGAAAAGAGAGTGAATTGGTGAGTTGGATTTGTTCATTCCTGAAGCGACTCCTCACCCTGCATTTTGTTATTTTAGGGGCTTGTATTATAGGGGGCTGGAAGGCAGGAGAAGGGCAAAGGTGGAGAAAGGCCAGTACTTAAGACCAGGCTCTGAGGTGTCCTCTGTACTGTTGCCTCAGTGGGAGGAGATTAGTGGCGTGGATGAACATGATCGTCCCATCCGCACGTATCAAGTGTGCAACGTGCTTGAGCCCAACCAGGACAACTGGCTTCAGACGGGCTGGATCAGCCGTGGCCGTGGGCAGCGCATCTTTGTGGAGTTGCAGTTCACGCTGCGCGACTGCAGCAGTATACCTGGCGCCACGGGCACTTGCAAAGAGACCTTCAACGCGTATTACCTGGAAACAGAGACCGATCTGGGCCGAGGACGTCCCCGCCTAGGAGGCAACCGACCCCGCAAGATTGACACCATCGCAGCTGATGAGAGCTTCACGCAGGGCGACCTGGGGGAGAGAAAGATGAAGCTGAACACGGAGGTGCGTGAGATTGGCCCCCTCAGCCGGCCAGGCTTCCACCTGGCCTTCCAGGACGTGGGTGCGTGCGTGGCATTGGTCTCGGTGCGTGTCTACTACAAGCAGTGCCGCGCCACAGTGCGGGGCCTGGCAGCCTTCCCCGCCACCGCAGCTGAGAGCGCCTTCTCCACGCTGGTGGAAGTGGCTGGAACATGCGTGGCCCACTCAGAAGGGGAGCCCCGCAGCCCTCCCCGCATGCACTGTGGTGCTGATGGCGAATGGCTGGTGCCTGTGGGCCGTTGCAGCTGCAGTGCAGGATTCCAGGAACGTGGTGACATCTGTGAAGGTATCCAGGGCCCCAGAGGGATGGGATGGGGAAATATCACGCAGGTGGTGGGATAGAGTGTACTCTAGATGAAGGGGCAGGAGTGGAAGCGGAGAAGCCATAGGTGGAGCTGAGTGTCAATACCTTTTGTGCAGCCTCTAGTGGACATAGCCAAGACTGGAAAAGGTGAATCTGATCCCATATTAAGGACACATTAGGAAGATTGGGCACATAGCAAAATGTCCCAACCAAACCAAACTAAACCAACCAAACAAAACCAAAAACGTACAAAGCTGTATTTCAGGCAATATGATGGCTTCCTTTTACCAAAGAGATGCGTGCCTACCTGGCTTGCAAGGTTAGGCGTGGGCGGTCAGGATTGGGATCCAGGTTTGCCTATCTCTGCGAGTGTACTGCTCCATCGTGCTTCCCTCATGCATAACAAAAAACTCCACAGCAGCCCAACCCTCAGGGCTGTGTTACAGGGACTTCACCTGTGACCATATTCAAGTGAGGCTGGCAGGGGGCATCTCAGAGCTCCAGAGTGACAGCTTGCATCCGACAGCTCCTAGGATCTCATTCGGCTTTCTGAAGTACAACTGCTGTGTTCGCTCGTTCTCCGGGTCTGTGGCTTTGAAGCCACTGGGTAGGATGAGATCTAGAGTATGTGCATTTAATCGGAAAATTCAAAGGAATGTATTCCCCCCCCCCTCTCTCTCTCTCTCTCTCTCTCTGTGTGTGTGTGTGTGTGTGTGGTGTATAAGGGGAGACAGCATGTGTCCATGCCATGGAGTGAAAGTGGGAGCCAGAGGATACCCCATGGGGTTCAGCTCTATCCCTCCACCATGTATTCTACTGTTGAATTCAAGTGGTCAAGCTTGACAGCAATCGCCCTTACCCACTGAGCTATCTCATTACCAAAGGATCCACTTTCTAATCCAGGACTTTCCCTGGGTGTCAGGGTGATGGAAATGCATCCGACACAGCCCTGGCTCTTAAAAACCTCACATCTAGGCAGAAAGGGGCAACAGTTGATTCTTTTAACTCATAAGAAAGTGACATGTGTTATAACACAGCAGCAGAGTGGCAGGTGTCAGAAGAAGTGACTAAACTTGATGCTGTCATTTCACCTGTTGCTATGATAAAAACACTCTGACCAGAAACAACCCAAGGGAAGAAAGGGGTTGATTTCAGCTTACAGATCATTGAGGAAAGTCAGGGAAGGAAATCAAAGGCATAAAACACGGAGGAAGACTGCTTGCTGGTTCATATGTTTACCTAGCTTTTTATGCAGCCCAGGTCCATCTGACCGGGGAATGATACCTCACAGAGTGGGCTAGGTCCTCCTATATCTAGACAATCCATCCCAGACATCCCATAGGCCAATCTGATCTGAGGAATCTCTCAATTGAGACTCAGGTGATGCTATGCTGTGTCAAACTGACAGTTACAGCTAACTAGGACACTGTCTCCCTACTTAATCAACCATTCAGATGAGAGGAGGGTTGTCTCCAGCTATTACTATGTGTGCGGATGAATACAACTGTCTGTTCCCTTGAACACTGTGGTTACTATGAAACCCAGAAGCAAGAACCTTTCTGAGCTCTCCCAAGCATCCGGTTCCCACTGAGTTCTCTCTGCCTGTACTACAGTGGCCTACTGAAATCAATGTGTGCACAGGTGTGTTCTGAGCTCAGGCATTGATCTCAGCAGCCCCTGGGTCCATTGCAGGCCATGGAGTGTGGCAGATGGTCAGTGGAAATGTGGAGTGACCATGTGTCTCAATTTTCTTTCTGCTGTTTTGATAACTAGCCTGACAAAAAGCAACTTAGAAGAAAGGGTTTATTTGGCCTCTAATTCTATCTTACAGTCAATAGTGTTGAGGAAGCCACAGGGAACTGGTCACAGTCTATACACAGCCAAGAGCAGGGAGCAATGAATTAACTCTTGCCTGCTAGTGCTCTGCTAGCTCTCTCCATCCTATACAGCTCAGGAAAGGGTTCCATCCCTAGTTCCCATGGGCCTTTGATCCCAGCACTCAAGAGGCAGAGGCAGGCAAATCTCTGTGAGTTCAAGGCCAGCCTAGACTACATAACAAGTTCCGGGATAGCCAGGGCTATGTAAACAGACCCTGTCTCAAAAACAAAAAGATGAGTTTTTCTACTTCAATTAGCTCAGTCAAGACAATCCCTCACAGACATTAGGCACAGCTATCTTTAATCTAAACAATCCTTTGCAGATGTCCCCAGAGCCTGTCTCCTAGATGCCAGGTTGACAGTTAATGTGAAACCATCACACCATGGTGTGAGTCCGACCCACAGAGATCCCAGTTCTCCGGATGAGGAGAGTTTTCCAGAGAAAGGGAGGTTTTTCTTCCTGGTGGCTGGGAACATTCTGCAGAGGCATAGTGACAAAAAGGAACAGAGTGGCTGGTACTAAATAAGTAACCCAGGGTGGTTACTGCGTGGGCAAGTGGGAGTGTGAGAATCCATGAGCCGGAAGAGGGGCGGGGCCAGAAGTGAATAATGAAATAAAGACTTAATGCCTCAGGTCAATGAGGACAGAAGCCAGCGTGTTCAGATTTATATTTTCAAAAGAACACTCAAGCTGGACCAGCAAAGACAGGGTGGGAGAGGGGGAGCATTGGAAGACAGAAGGGAGAAAGGAGGGTGGACCCAATAGTTCAGGAGACAGATTGTGAGGTTGTGAAATGGTAGCGGCCATCTTTGAGTGGTAAAGACAGATGGGATGGGATGGGATGGGATGGGATGGGATGGGATGGGATGGGATGGGATGGGATGGGATGGGATGGGAGACATGGGGTGGGATGACTGTTGTCTCAGCTCCCAGGAGGTTGAAGCAGGAAGACCAGGGTTCAAGCCCATCCTGGGCTACATAATGAATTTGAAGCTAGTCTAGGCTACATGGGACTCAATCTAAAAAACAAACAAAAGACCCTAAAGGGGCAAGATGACTCAGCCAGCAAAAGCATTTGCTGTGCATTCTATACTCAGCCAAAATATTTTTTAAAGTGGGTTTCACATGCCTTTAATCCAATGCTTCTCAATTTTCTTAGTGCCGTGACCCTTTAATACAGTTCCTCGTGTTGTGGTGACCCCATCAACCTTAAAATTATTTTCGCTGCTACTTCATTCATAACTGTAATTTTGCTTCTGTTATGAACTGTAATGTAAATAGTTATGGAGACAGAGATTTGCTGAAGGGGTAGAGCCCCCTAGGATGAGAGCCACCGCTTTAATGCCAGCCTGTGAGTTCCAGGATAGCCTGGTCTACATAGTGACCCTCAGGACAGCCAGGGGATACATAATAGATCCTGTCTAAATGGAAGAGATTAGGGGAGGCATGCTGAGAGATTAAAGAGTAGAAACGGGAAGGCAATAACCTGGTGGTCCAGGGCGAGGAGCATCCAGAAGAGAGCATGGTGAGCACTCAGGAGTGTCGAGGGTTGGATAGCGGTCACTTCATCTTGGCAAGAACAGTTGCAGCTGGGCAATGGAAAGAGCAGGCTGTAGTCAGTCAGATGAAGAATGAAGAAACCTGTACAGCCGGAGTCAACATATCTAGATGTGTAGTGATCCCAGACAACTCAGCTGGTGGAGCTTCAGTCCTGGGGGTGTGGCTCAGTTGGAAGAATGTTCACTTAGCATCCATGTACAAAACCCTGGGGTCTATCCCAGTACCACATAAGCCAGTCTTGGAGATACATGCCTCAGGAGATAGAGACAAGAGGATCAGAAGTTCAAAGTCAACCTTAGCTGAACAGTGAGTTTGAGGCCATCCTGAGCTATGTAAGACCCCACACACACACACACACACACACACACGGGAGAGGAGGGAGGGAGAGGGAGAGGGAGAGGGGGAAGGGAGGGGGAGGGGGAGGGAGAGGGAGAGGGAGAGGGAGAGGGAGAGGGAGGGAGGGAGAGAGAGAGAGAGAGAGAGAGAGAGAGAGAGAGAGAGAGAGAGGAGCACTCTTGCTCTAGAAGCCAGGATTTGAAGGAAGAAGAGACAGCATCTTCAGCAGAATGTTGGGCTGATAGAATCTTTGCATGTGAACATATTGTTTGAACAGAAAGAGGGCTTTTATTATAGAGAAGAGACGCTTGTTTATGTGCTGGGGGAGAGAGCCAGTGTCACACCAAATGTGTGCAGGGAGAGCTCTGTTCAAGAAGAATGTTTTATTACTGATGTGGGTTAAAATTGCTGACGCATGTTGCTAATAAAAAGCAGGACAACTTTTAGTTAGCTTTAGGATTGTTTTAAAATAGTCTATAGTCAGAGCCCTTATGCCTGCATGGAAATGGGCTGCTTTTCTGCTCCACCCGCTAGTGACATCACTGGAAAGAGGCAGCAGACAGAGAGGCTTGCAAAGAGGAGATGACAGAGGGAATATTGACTTTGAAGAGGGGTTGAAGTCAGGGATCCAGAGTGGAGATGGCTAGCTGTCCTTAAACAGAGGGTGGCTTGTCCCCACCTCGAAGACTGCAGGAGAGGAGATATGGTTAAGATGGAGGCGTTTGTGGTTTCCATAACCAGCTGTTGGGGAATTTACCAACTCACGACCTCTCTGTGTGCTCTTCCAGGTGTGGAGTCATCTGTAACGGTGTGTGTGTGGGGAGTCAGATTTGTGTCTAATTTATGGTGTGTCTTTAGAACTTAGAAAAACACCTAGTTTATAGCAGATGATCATCTCGTGGATGCTTAGAGACTAGAGACCTCTGGCTTGTGTTGTGCTTCCTCTCCTCAGGCTGAGACCAGATAAAAATTGCTTGTAATAGCATCATCTCTGCCCAGGGCAGTGGAGGAGATGGGGGAAATCTAGGGCAAATTTCCCAAGGGAGGTGCTGCTGGATCTGGACTTTGGAGAGATACACAACTCAGCTGCCAGGAGGAAGAGACGTCACGAGTCAGAAGCTCTCTGTGGTGTTCAGAGTAGGCACGGTGGGGCTGCTGGAGAAGGTTAAGAAGGGACCAGAAGTGGTCAGGTTTGCACCGGTGCCTTCAGGCAGTCCAAGAGTCTCTTGCAGCCAAGTGGACACTTCTCAAAGCTAGAGGAGGAGACAAAGCTAAGATCTCCCCAGTCTTTAGGATTATGGTTAAGATCATGATTATTTTGGTATTTTGTTTTGTTTGAGACAGAGTTCCTCTGTGAAGCCCTTGCTGTCCTGGAAATCACTCTGTAGACCAGGCTGGTCTCAAATCCAGAGATCTGCCTGCCTCTGCCTCCCGAGTGCTGAGATTGAAAGGCATGTGTCACCAATGCCTGGTGTCCTGCTCTTTCTTTAGTGACCTTGGTTCTTGGCCCTAGTGTAGTCACCATAGGAATCAGTGAAATTTGGCTTCCCTTTTCAGAACACAGACTATTATTGAGTCTCTCGTGGGTCTGCCTGCTTGCTGATGCTGTATAGGTTACTCGACCCCCTTGGTGGAGTGACAGGGTTGACTCTACACAGAGCATCTAACTTGGGCTCCTCCTACGAATAGCCTTTCTCTCTGGTGGCAAAGGCAGCCTGAGAAGGGAGACATCATGAGGTATGTGAACAAAGCTGATGAAGAAATCTCTTTGGGGCTAGATCAGTGGGAGTTAAACTAGATGACCTCTGAATTCCTGACTTTGACATTGAAGAGAGGAAGATGTTGGCTGTCAGGGAGTCCTATCCTGAGTCTGTCCTTCAGCACAGTATTCTAGACAACACCTCTCAGAGTAGGGAGGACCACAGTTGTCTGTGATGGGGACATGGAGACCACAGGTAGGACAGCATCTCTCTTCCACTTCAAGCATGGCACCTCTACACTCCTCCCAATGCCCTGAGATGTTCACATAGGGCGCCTCTCCAAACCCTCTCCACTCTGTTTCCAAGCAGTCAATAGGCTGTGCTCACAATGTCCATCTGACTGATGGTTTCCTCAGCCCAAAGTAGCAGAGCTCATACTGCACCAGGTTTTCAAGTCTTGGTTCTGACTACACCCACAGGCCCACATGGGGTAGTGGCCATGCAGTTTGTGCTAAAGGAAAGACACTGCTTAGCCCACCCTCTAGCTATGCTGCAGAGGACTCTGGGTAAGATGGGACTTGGTCCCAAGTCTAAGCCTTTTAGACAACAAGCCTTTGTGCAACAGCTCAGCTCTTCTTGGGAACAGCGTTCTTCCCAAAAGTTAGTCTTCCCCCCTGCTGTTATTCTGTCTTCTTGGATCCAGCCTTCCATCCCTAGCTAGACTAGAGGAAAGGCCCTGGAAGTGGGGTGGGAACCCAGCACAACAGAGCAGGGACCAGGAGCCACTGCTCCAAATCAGACTGAGACCTTTTTTAAATGGTCATTTAAGGCAAAGAGATGGCTCTGGGGTAAAATGCTTGCTGCTCCAGCCTGAAGGTCTGAATTGAGATGCCCAGCATCCACAAAAAGTTAGGCATGGCAGAGCTTGTCTGTAACCCCAGCACAGGAAGGGGGCACCAAATCCCAGAGGCTTTCTGACCAGCTAGAATAGCTGAGGCCCTGAGCTTCTGATTTAGTGAGAGAGCCTGTCTCAAAAATAAGTTGCGCAGTGACAGAGAAAGACACGTGATGTGGCGCTCTGGTCTGTACCTGTTCACAAATGGGCAAGCACATCCCTTGCACACACAAGTGAGTGAAACAGAATCAGATAGGCGTTCAGAGAATGGTCATGCCTGTAATCCCAGCATTCAGGAAAGGAAGAAGAAAAATTCAAGGTCAGCCTCAGCTACACTGATGGTTGAAGGCTAACCTGGGCTGCAAGAGATCCTGTCTCAGTCAGTCCGTCGATAAAGTGTGTGTTTGTTTCTTTGGGTCTGAGAGGGAGAAGCAGTTACTACCATCACCATATCTGCAGTCCACACAGATCATATCAGTGTCTTTTCTCAGTCAGTCCTTCTGAGGCAGGGATTCTACACGAGGCTCAGGAAGATTAACTGACATGCCCAAGGCTACCCAGCAAATACCTGCGTGCATGCATGCGGGATGCAACTCAGCTATCAACCAGAACCGGCTTGAGTTTCAGCCTGTTCCTAGGAGCTGTGAGGTGGGTTGGGTGAGTGAAGGCAAGGGCAGCGAGGCCCCTTCCTGAGCACAGTCACACTAATCTAGGAAGCCGCTGGGGCACTGGGCAGCTCCACCCCTCCACCTGCCCAACTCTGCCTCCATACTGGGTCCAGCCCAGCCACTCTCTCTCTCTCTCTCTCTCTCTCTCTCTCTCTCTCTCTCTCTCTCTGTGTATGTGTGTGTGTACAGAGGTATACACGAGTGTGTGTGTCTGCCTGACTGCCTGTCTGTCTGTCTAAGTGGAATGTGTATCTGTCCCTGAGTAACAGGGCCCAGCCCCTGGAGGGCCCGCCCTTCTTTTCTCTTGTTCACCTCCGGATTGCATCTTTGACCTTAGAGCCTCGGTGCAGGACTTTTGAAAGGGGCAGGCCAGGGTGGGAATCCCACTAATGGTGGAGCATTTGGCAGCTTAACCTCTCCCAGCCTCGCTTTCCTCTTCGTAACCACGGAGATGGAGTCAAATGTATTAACAGGAGCAAATTATGTCGCCATCCCGGCTACATACAGCTTTTGTCAAGGGCCAGAGGAGACTGAGCTAAGAGCCTCACTCCGCTTTCCTCACTCTAATCCAGGAAAAGCAAGAAGCCAGGGTGGGGCGTGGTCAGAAAGGAGACTTCTCACCAACCCCTTCCCACAGCCTGTCCCCCAGGGTTTTACAAGGTGTCCCCAAGGCGGCCCCTCTGCTCGCCCTGCCCGGAGCACAGCTTGGCCCTGGAGAATGCCTCTACCTTCTGCGTGTGCCAAGACACCTATGCTCGCTCGCCCACCGACCCGCCCTCAGCTTCCTGCACCCGTGAGTTTCCCCGCTGCCTGGGCGTGGGGAGGGGAGACGCCACCCACGTACTACTGAGGCGTGGTTGGGGTGGGAGGCAGGGGTTGCAAATTGGACTGACAGGGCAAAGAGAAAGGCCTGGGGTGGGTCTGGGAACCTGGGCCTGGAGGAATCCAAAAGGAGGGGGAGGGGGGGGGGGCAGAATTCTCTGTGGGTGGCCGTCTGAGGAGTCTCTTTCCCATTCCACTCATGTCTTCCTGAGTCTGGCTGGGACGTTCTTCCTCTCTCTCATGCCCTCTGTCCTCTGTGACCATGTCTCCATCTCAGTCTCCTCGATCTCGGTCCCCACGCTGCTCCCCACGTCTGCCGGCTTCCTTCCATACTGCTCCCATGCCGGTTGCCCGAACCCCCTCCCCATCCCCATGCGCTCTTGGGTCCCCGCCCGGCCCCACTCAGCGCCGCCCCATGTCGCAGGGCCGCCGTCCGCGCCGCGGGACCTGCAGTACAGCCTGAGCCGCTCCCCGCTGGCGCTGCGGCTGCGTTGGCTGCCGCCTGCGGACTCCGGCGGCCGCTCCGACGTCACCTACTCGCTGCTGTGCCTGCGCTGCGGGCGCGACGGTCCGGCGGGCGCGTGCCAACCCTGCGGGCCGCGCGTGGCCTTCGTCCCGCGCCAGGCTGGGCTGCGGGAACGCGCCGCCACGCTGCTCCACCTGCGGCCGGGCGCGCGCTACACAGTGCGCGTGGCCGCGCTCAACGGCGTCTCCGGCCCAGCGGCCGCCGCGGGAACCACCTACGCGCAGGTCACAGTGTCCACAGGACCCGGGGGTAAGGCCGCGTGCCCCATCCGAGGCAGTCCCCCACTCCCAGCTGCAGTTCCTCGCAAGCATCCCAGGGAGTTCAGGAACCCACGTGACAGCACCCACCCCCCACCCCAACCCCGGACCCAGGTGGTGCCTGTGTGTCCCCCTTTCCCCTCCACTCTTTTGCTAACTCGGCCACCTTGCAGAAGCAGGGACGCAGGCAGGTTCAGAATGGCAGGCGCCAGAGTGGCCGCGCTACCGGTTTCTGAGTCTCCACTGGGATGAAAACCACTTTTGACACCACACCCTCCACATCCTTGACATTTACTTCTGATTTGTCTCTCCTCTGGTGCACACTTTCAAGTAATCCCTCGAGTGCCCTTTGCAAGATAGATAAGCGCGTGCGATGGCTTCTGAGTCTTTCCTATCTGATTGGTGTGTGACCCTCCTTCCCTGTCTTCCGTGACCCTACCTGTCAGTTGGGTTTTCAGCAAGGCCTGGGGTGATTTTCATTCTTTTGTAAGTACCTTGGTGGAGAGATGTGCACACACAGGGGTGTCTGAATAATTTCTTAGCCTGCCTATGGAAATGAAAACATAACCGATATGGATTTCTTTTCACTTTCGCCTGACTGGAGCATAGTAGGCCCTTTGATCCGCACTTTCTTTTTTCATTCCTGGGGAAGTTTTCTCGGCAGCTGCTTTGAGTAGCGCTCCCTCCGTATCTCTTAACCGGATCTCTAAGCCCTGGGTTGTACATCTATTTTCTGATTCTCACATCTTGTCACTTCCTTCGTCATTTTCAGCTCTCAATCCCTCTCCTAGGATTTTGAGAGATTTCCCAGTCTACCTGGGTTTCTAGGACGCTTCTGTTCTTTATTGTCTCCGTTGAGACTTAACCCTTGCTATTGCGTTTACATTTTAAACAAGCCAAGGCCTGGGAGAGCAGCTCAGTGATGCAGTATTTGCCTGGCATGCTTGAGGCACTGGGTTTGGTCACCGGTAGCAAAGAAGGAAGAAAGGAAGCAGAGGCATGTCTAATCCCAGCACTCAAGGTCATTCTGAGCTACACAGTGACTCTGAGCTCAGTCTGGGCCACAGGAAACTTTGTCTTAAAGAATAAAAGTACGGCCAGGCATGATGGTGCACTTCTTTAATGCTGTACATGTGAGAGTCAGAGACAAGCAGAATCTCTGCTAGTTTGAAGCCTGCCTGGTCTACATAGGGAGTTCCAGGACAGCCAGGGCTACATAGAGAGACCTTGTCCTAAAAGGAAAAACACAAAAAACAAAAACAAAGAAACCAAACCAACCAAAACAAAAAAAAAGCAACTAGTATGTATTGTCACAATGTTTTATACACATGACTATCTCTATAAAACTTTTTATATATTATATGTATATTATGTATAACAAATATAATATATATAATATATTGCAGGGTCTTTTTTCATTATTTTATGTTTATGGGTGTTTCGCCTGCATCTGTGTCTGTGTACCATGCTTGTGCCTAGTAGCAGCAGAGGCCAGAAAAATGCACTGGATCTCTGGAACTGGAGTTACAGAGAGTTGTGAGGCATCATACGGGTACTAGGAATGGAACCCAGGACCTCTGGAAGAACAGCCAGTGTTCCTAACCACTGAGCCACCTCTCCAGCCCCAGGCAGGGTCTTATGTAGCTAAGACTGGGCTCTTGAGTAGCTCTGGTCTCTACCTCCCAGGTGTTGGAATTTTAGGAGTGGCCCAATCTATATAGTGCTAGGAAGCAAACTAGGGTTTCCTGTATGCTAGTCAAATGTCCAGTGAGGCTGATCAAGCCCCCACATCCCCTCTTTCGAGTCAAGGTTTCACTGTGTAGTCCTGGCTGGCCCGGAATTTGCTATGTAGATCAGGCTGGCCTCAAACTCATAGAAATCCACTTGCCTCTGCTTCTTGAGTTCTGTGATTAAAGTTTTGTGCCACCATGCCTGACCCTTTAAAAATATTTAACTTGGGGGCTGGAGAGATGATTCAGTGGTTAAGAGCACCATCTGCTGTTCCAGAGGTCCTAAGTTCAATCCCCAGGAACTACATAGTGGCTCACAACCATCTATAGCGTGATCTAGATCTGATGCCCTCTTCTGGCATGCAGGTGAACATGCAGATAGGGCACTCATACACATAAAATAAATAAATAAATCTTTAAAAAGGATATTTACTTAATTTTAAATGTATGTGTGTGCCTGCATGAATCTAAGCGTATTGCATGAACATTCATGCATGTGCCTGCAAAGGTCAGAGTGTCCGACAGCCTAGAATCATAGGCAGCTGTGAGACACCTGACCTGGGTGCAGTGAGACTCTTAACCACTGAGCAATTCTTCCAGCCACCACCCACCTTTTTTAAAAAAAATGAAACAAGGTCATACTCTTTAGCCCGAGCTAGCCTTAAGTTCATTGAAATCCTCCTGGTCAGGTGCTAGAATTACAGATATGATTACAAGATTACAAGATATCACCCTGATTCTTTTTTTCAAGACAGGGTTTTTCTGAGTAGCACTAGTCCTGGCTGTCCTGGAACTTAGAGATCTGTCTGCTGCTGCCTCTTCAATGCTGGAATTAAAGGCATGTGCCACTACATCCAGTCGAACCTCTCTCCTCTTAGCTGTCATCTTTTATTGGCTAGAACAGAAGTAAACCCAACCCTAAAGCAATGGACGGTGAAGGAAGGAATGTCTTAGAGCAGCCAGGCAGGATTAACCTGAGTAACAAACACACACACACCGCTCCTATCAAAATCAGAACTCAGTCACTAGGGCAAGGGAACTGGTGGGTCTCCCTAGAAGCTGCTCTCCTGGCAACTGGAGCCCTGATTGACTTCATCTGCAATCCACAGCTGGACAGCTGGGGCTCAGGCTGAGGTTTTAGTTTGAGTCTTAGAATATTTTTTTTGAGTGTGTGTATATATGATTGTGTGTGTGTATGATTGTGTGTATGTGTATGATTGTGTGTATGTGTGTATGTGTGTGTGTGTGTGTGTGTGCAGGCATGTATATGTGATGGTCAGAGGATACCCTCTGGTGTCCATTTTTACCTCCTTTATTTGAGAAAGAGTATCTTTGTAAGTCAGGCTAACTGTCCAGAGAGTTTCTAGTACCAAAAACCTTTATATGGTTTCTGGGGATTATGAACTCAGATTCTCATGTTTGTATGGCAAGTACTTTACCTACTGAGCCATCTTACTAGCCTTTCCTTCTCAGGGCCTATCAGCCTTTCATCTAATACATCTCTGAGGGGCCAAAATGGAACTATGTCCAGCTGTGGATGTTTTGGCCATCTGACGCTCTTGACTGACAAAGTTCAACCGTGACATTTCTAGCCTCTCCCTGACTCTGCCCCCGTCTGGGTCTCCAAAGGGCTTTACCACCTCCTAGGAAGCTCACCTCAACGTCTAAGCCAGGTCCACGTGAATTCAGCCTGCTGGGGGCAGGGGAGAGTACGCTCAGCAGCTGTGCAGTGGAGTGACAGGCTGCTATTGTCCGGCTTACAAAGACATCGCTTTTTTTTTCAAAGGGTCAGGCACTGGGGAAAAGACTAAAGGATTTTTCAAGTTATTTTTAGGATGGGAGACAGTACCGCTCTGTAAGTAGTGTAGCCTGGGGTTCACTACAGCCACGTGGATCCCTCCAGTCCCACTGGTTTTACAGAGGTTAAAAGTATGACGCTCCCTCCCTGTCCCCCATACCAACAATCAGCTGTCAGCTGTGGGTTTTGGCTCCTTCTGTATCTATAGGCCTCATTGAAATATAAGGCAGCAGAGACTGGGTCGACTGGCCAGGTATATCACGTGACACCGGAAGCCATATTCAAGCCCTTGTCAAAGGGCAGCATATGTGTTTGCCGTCTCCACCTCTACCCTTTGCTATCTGGTATCTATTTTTTTTTCTGACTCCCTGTCGTCCCGGAATCTGATGGTGCTTTTTGCACTATTTCACAGACCTCTTGCAGGTACAGGACACTGCTGGTCATCAGCCGCTCCGGCTGCTGGTGAACCTGATCAAGCCCTTCACTTTGTCGAGTCTCATCTCAAGGCCTTCATATACAATTCTTCATGTTGTGAGGCTGGTTCTCTGAGACTCCTTTGTGAATTCCTTATAGGGTTTTCCACATTAAGATCATGCCATCCCATGATGCCCTTGTGTCTTCCCATTCACGCCTTCTGTTTGTTTTTCCTGCCTGGTCACTCCGGTTAGAGTTTTTAAGCTCTATAGTGCAGTGAGTGGCATCCTGGCCTTTCTCCAGACAGAATGTTCCCAATCTTTCTCTCTTGAGTGCTGTGCTCGCAGTGGGCTTCCCACGTTTGTCCTTTATCATGTTGCGGTGATTTTCTTCTAATCCTCGATTGTCTGCAGCCATACCACCGTGAACAAGCCAATCAGGGCTCCACACTCTCTTAGGTCTTCAAACCACAGAATGAGACTGAAGGATGAGAAACAAGCAGGATGAGGAAAACTGGGAAGGCCAGCGGGGCTTCCCCTCCCAGTAGGCAATCAAAGTGAGAGAAGTCTTGGCCAGATATTCTCCCCAAACCTCTGGTCCTACCAAGACTCTGCCCCCTCAGCCCCCACAGGCCACGCCCACTTCGAACCCCCCTCCCCTGTGCATGCCCCGCCCCTTCTGCTCTCACCCAGAGCCTGTGGATAGAGGGTCCAGGAGAGCATCCCGCTCTGCTTACTCTCAGCACCCTGGGAGGAGGATGAAATCCGCAGGGACCGCGTGGAGCCCCAGAGCGTGTCGCTGTCCTGGCGAGAGCCTGTCCTTGCTGGAGCTCCCGGAACTAACAGCACAGAGTATGAGATTCGCTACTTTGAGAAGGTGAGTCCCAGCAGGAAACCGCCTAGATCCCAGACTGCCTGCCTTCCTCAGCCTTATTCCTCAGCTGTGAGGCCTCCTGAGGCCCTTCCTTCCTCCTCTCTCCTTCCTCACCCAAAGACAGCTCCAGTTCACTTCCTTAGTTTACGGTTTAGCAGAGATGAAAAGTTGGCTGTGGGGCAGGTCTGTTTTGCCTGGCTGAATTTCACAAATATGATCTGCAGACACTTTTGCAAAGGAAAGGGGCACAGAGATATCCGTGGGCCACAGGAGCACATTGCCAGGCTGGGGGTTGTGGAATATTCCGGAATGGGGGTCTTGCATTCCTGTGGCTTACTATAAAAGGGTGTAAGTGTTGCATCACTTACAAAATTCAAACATTCTTAATTATGAAATACATATATTCTGCAGGGTGTGATGGTACGCACACTTAAATCCCAGCTATTGTGAGGCAAAGGCAGGCAGATCTCTCAATTGGAGGCCAGCCTGGTCTACATAGTGAATTCCAGGCCAGCTAGGAATACATAGAAAAGCCCCGTTTAAAAAAAATAAGTAAATTGCCGGGCAGTGGTGGCGCACGCCTTTAATCCCACCACTTGGGAGGCAGAGGCAGGCAGATTTCTGAGTTTGAGAGTTCGAGGCCAGCCTGGTCTACAGAGTGAGTTCCAGGACAGCCAGGGCTACACAGAGAAACCCTGTCTCGAAAAACCAAATAAATAAATAAATAAATAAATACTCATCATCAATTCCATAGAGTTATTTTTATTTTTGAGATAGAGTCTTGCTATGTAGTTCTGGCTGACCTTGGCCTCTAGCGTGGTCAGACCACCATCCCCAGCTGTCTATATGGCAAACAGTGCCTCATGAGATATGTTTTGTTTGCTTTGAGACAGGTTCTCTCTGAGAAGCATTAGTTGGTCTGGGATTCACTATGTAGTCCAGGTTGGCCTTGAATTTATCTTGACCTCTGTCAAGATAAATCTTTCTCTGTCTCCTAATAAACCTAATCTCTGTCTCCCCAGTGCTGGGATTATATGAGTCTGGGTTGGTTTTTATAAGATACCTTTGCTGGGTTTTTGTTTGTTTGCTTGCTTGCTTGCTTGCTTGCTTGCTTTTGACAGTCGAACTATGTAGCTTTGGGATGGTCTCCAACTCACAAGGACCCTCCTGCTTCTGCCTCTTGCTGAATTTTGTGAATCTTGTCCCCATCCCCCACCCTCGCCCCAGGCTGCCTCAAATGCCCCTCCTCACAAATAGCCTTATGGCCTTCTCTTTTCTTCTTCTCCTCTTTTATTGGTAGTTTATTTATTTTTATTTTGAGATCGGGTCTTCCCGTAGCCCCAGCTAGCCTCCTGCCTCCACCTCCCACACTCTGGGAGTACAGGCATGTGGCTGCACGCCCACCTTTCTCTTCTGTGCATTTTCAATCTGCGGTTACTGTTCAGCCACAATTTGATGAATGGAGTTGTTTCCAACCCATGCTCTCTTTCCTCATCAATTTGGTGTCTTTAACTCTGAGATATGATCTTCTGCGAAATGGTGCCTCACTTTTATGCAAATTAATTCATTAAAGAGAAACTTCTTCCCCAGTGTGACAGGATTCCACTCCCTCAGCGGCATGTAAGGGCTTTGCTGAGTCAGATAATGGCTTTGATTAATAGAAGTCTGTTGGGAGCTGTGACAGTTGGGGTGCCTAGGAAAAAACAGGGTCACCAAATCACTTTTGGATGTATGGACCTGGGGGACCAGGTTGGGGAGCTGCTGGCTGAGAGGAGGGGGAGCAGGCAGGGCTACATAGTGAGTGTGGTCTTTTTCTGTATGAGGTGTATCAGTCAGCCATCCAGGTGGATTTCCTGTACATCTGGAGCTCAGATCACAGCTGTGGGTTGGAGAGATGGCATGGGGAGAGAAGTTTGAAGAGAGGAATTTTGAGTATCAGATGTACTGAGGTACAGCAAAGGTCAGACCTGAAGGATTTAAAACTGCCACCCTGGCTGGCCCTTCCTTAACAAGGGAGGGGGGAGGCTTCACAAGGGCTGTCTTAGACCTAGTATAGGAAGTAGCCACTCGCCAGTTACAGTCAATGCTCTCCTGAGTCTCCAGCTAAGGGGGTCTTTGCCCCCTGGAGTCCCAGTGCCTCATCTGTGAATTAAAACAGAGCAGAGCCACCAAGATAGCCCTTGCTCTCCTCTTTGCAAGTCAGATGACAGGGGCATGAAAAGCCTTGTGAACAGGACAGGGCAGGTGGCTGTGTGAGCCTTGCTTGTGCTCTGGCCTACCTCACACCTGGACTGCCAAGCCCCTGGTAGCTAGCACCTGGTCACCCCTGCAAAGGAAGCTCTAGCCTTTTATGGGACTGAGTCTTGAGGAGAGAGGCACTGGGGAGTCTACACTCAAGATGATGTGGGTCAGTTTCCCCTCACCTTCAACTTCAGGGTAGTCCCTTGCTTCTCACTGCCTCCAGCCCCCCAGCATCCTGGGTCTGGGCCTCACTGCTCCATCCTCTCCAGGGTCAGAGTGAGCAGAGTTACTCCACAGTGAAGACAGGGGCACCGGCTGTCACTGTCACCAACCTGAAGCCTGCTACCAGATACGTTTTTCAGATCCGGGCAGCCTCCCCAGGGCCTTCATGGGAAGCCCAGAGCTTCAGTCCAAGCATCGAAGTGCAGACTCCAGGGGAAGGTAAGTGATAGTGTGTGAGTGCTTGGAGGGTGCTGGGTGCAGGCAGCAGGTAGACACGGGGCAGGGGAGCAGGGAGACACCGGGCAGGGCAGCAGGGAGACATGGGTCAGGGGAGCAGGGAGACACAGGACTCCAGAAGGGAGCCACAGAAGAGCTTCACGTCTTTAATCGCAGAACTAGAGAAGCAGAGGCTGGCAGATCTCTGAGTTCAAGGCCAGCCTAATCTACAGAGTGAGTTCCAGGACAGACAGGGGCACATAGTAAAACTTTCTCAAAAAACAGAAAACCGAAAACATCAACAAAAGAAAACAAAAAACAAACAAAAAAACCTCCAAAACCAACCAAACAAAGAAAAAAGCCACTTCATATCTTAGTCAAAGAATTTGAGGTCCACCTTCAGTAACCCACTTGGTGTCTTCCCCGGAGCACAGGGAACCCCAACACCTGTGCCAGCTGGTGCCCCCCTCCTCAGAGCATGCCTCTTCCATCAGACATCCTGAGTCCTCCAGCCTCTTTCCTTCCAAGGTCACCTCTTTCTGGGCCTTGCTGGATCTTTCTTGCTGTTCTTCTCTCTGCCACAACAAAGATCCACCTTGGTCCGCCTTGGCACACTGTCTGGTTTTCCCCTCTAGGCTTAGCATGTGAAGCCAACTTCCCTGAGAGGGAGGAGACCAGGAAGGGACACAGGCCAATGATCTGGGCACTTGGAAAGCCTGAGAAAGGACCACTGAGAGGTGTTCAAGGCCAAATGCCTCTACACAGAACTCAAGGTTGGCAGGGATGACATCACTGAGTAGCTGAGCTGGAAGTGCACTCCTATAATCCCAGCACTGGGGAGGGAAGGAAAGGGAAACCAAGAGTTTGAGGCCAGCCTGGGCTACATGAAGTCCTGTCTCAAGAAATAAGGAAGGAAGGGAGAGAGAGAGAGAGAGAGAGAGAGAGAGAGAGAGAGAGAGAGAGAGAGAGAGAGAGAGAGAAATGGTGTCAGAAGCTCGGCTCCCTCTCTGTTGCTCACCTCGATCAATGCTGGCCCCAGCCCTCAGGGTCTCACCTCCATCTACCCTGCAGCTCACAGCAGTATTTTCCCCAACAAAGGCAGCTCCTCCTAAGAGGCACTCTGGTACCAGCTGTCAAGAAAAGAGTTCTTCCCAACCTGCTACATGACTGTAATCCAAGATAGGAAATGCTGGGAGCCCAAAGAGAGGTGAGATGAAATGTGGAGGGAGACCTGAATCAGGAGAGGTGGACAGCGCGTGTCTGGCAGGAATGCCCATCTGTGTCTGGCCTCGGACACATCCTGGGAAGAGCAGAGTACCGCATCTTGAGGCTGGGGGATATTCGAACAAGTGGAAGCGAGTAGGGAAGTCGTTTGGTAGTGGAAACCACTCGAGCCCACCTTACCACACACTGTGTGACTGGCCACACTGGTCCCCAGGCTTGAGCCAGCCTCTTCCTCACCCCAAGCCTGCTACAGACAGCCATCTTTCTACTCAGTGTCCAGTGCCTCCCCTCCTCACTAGTTCTTCTGAACCTTTCTGTCTCACACCCCTCCTTCGCATCCTGACTCCCAACCCCACAGGCTACCTCTGTCCTTTCCTCTCCAGCCAGGCAGGAATGGGCAGTTCCCTCAGCCTGGATAGTTCTTTCTCCTTAGTCTACATCCAAGATCCCCTAGCCGTGCCTCCCCAAGTTCCCTCCACTCGAAGATTCAGCTTCCATCCCGTTATCTTCTGCCTTTGTACAGTGCATCCTCCAGTTCCGTGGGTTGCTTGCCATTTTCCAGGCCCCCGTTTGTACGTATAGGCCTGGGATGCAGACTCTGTGTCTTTCAGCCTCCCAGACCGCCCCCTCTCTCTGGTTATTTTTTTTCTATAGTTAAATATTATTAATTTATTTACTATTGTCTCTCATTCTGAGCCTGTGCACTTCTTTAAGCAGCTTAGGGTCCTGTGAATGCCTGTCCAGTTTTTAAGCTGCTTTGGCATTAGGCAGAGGGTTTGGGTGACGGGTTTCAGTCTTGGCTTCACCTGGGTGTGGTGGCACATGATGTAATCTCAGCACTTGAGAGACAGAGGCAGAAGGGTCAGGAGTTCGAAGTCATCCTTGGCTACGCAAATTGGAGGTCAGCCCAGGCTACATGATACTCCATTTCAAAATAGAAACCAAAACCTCACAAAATCCTGTGTTCACATCACTTAGAAGCTATGTGATTTTGGACAAATTAGGTAATTTTCCTCAACTTGTCTCCTCTGCTTAAACTGGAGACAGTGACCCTCCCAGGACTTTTGTAGTGGTGAGGCAGGATAGTTCAGGTATGAAGCAGACTGTTTTAGACACAGGCATGCTCAGTGTTGACGTGGAGACTCCATGTTGGGAAAGGAGCTCAGAACAGAGGCTGTGACCCTGCAGAGCTTCTGGAAGTCTCTTTATTGCCTTGAAAAGCACAAGGGGAGGCCAATCCCAGCTACCTGGACTCTTGCCTCCTCTCAAAGCTGGTCTGCAGTAGAGAGGCTCTGCCTGTAGGCAGAGGTGTTTAGAACTCCAATTGCCACGGTGACTGTTGGCTACTGTGAACCAAACTGCTGAGGGATCCTCCTGGTGGCTGAGACAGAAATCTCTCTCGGTGCTTGCCCAGAATCCTAGTCCTTTGCCTGCCTCAGTCCCCTGTTTTTTTTCCCCCTAGTTGCCCCAGGGTCCAGGGACCAGAGCCCCGCAGTGGTTGTCACCGTGGTGACCATCTCAGCCCTCTTGGTCTTGGGCTCCGTGATGAGTGTGCTGGCCATTTGGAGGAGGTAGGTAGCTGGTTTCATCCTGGTGACCTGTGGTAAGTTTTGTTCCCATGTGTATAAAATATATACACACAAGTACCTATAAGTGCACCACACACACACAGAGTCAAGTTCACAGACTAAAGCACACTGCTGCATAGATCCCAATGCTGCCAGCAACCCCAGCACTTAGGTTATGGAGGGACGGAGGTCAGGAGTTCAAGCCCTACTTCAGCTACATTAGAATTTGAGGCCAGCCTGGGCCCTTGTCTTCCCCTCCCTTCAAAAAGATAGCAGTGTGGCCAGCTCGGCCCCTCCCCCACTTGCTGCTCACGCACCAGCTGCAGGCACTGCAGCTAGCTCAGCCGTGCTGGGATGAAGGGGATTTACCTCCTTAACTCATTAAATGTCAGAAGGCATCGCTGAGGATGGAATCAAGCTCCAGCTGCTTCTGTGTGATTAGGATTCTCCCAAGGCACTCGTGGGCCCCCAGCTCCTGCCCCCAAGGGATCTGAAGCCCCTTGAACACAAGTAAAAAGAAAAAGTCAGTAAGTGGGTGGGAGAGAGGGGGACAGGGAGGGAAACTCATCCGTCTGAGCCACGTCCCTCTTCTCTAAGAAGCTTGCAGGCAGAAAAATGGTGGGGAAGATGAGGGAGAGGACTGGGGGGAAGAAGGGGAGGGGCCAGGATTGATCAGGTCTGGTTGGAAGAAGATTCCATTTCCTTTGCACAAAGCAGAGACTGTTTAGCAGTGTGTATCCCCACCCTGCATACTGTTAAGCCCAGAGACCCCTGGCAGCCCCAGTCTGTGGGTTGGAGCTAGGTATAGAGGAAAAGTGGGCTGGCTGGGGAGCCACATCTCAAGGGTCTGAGCCACCTGTGGGCTAGAGGGACAGGGAGTGTTTCTTTGATACTGGCTATTTACATAGCCTTGACTAAAGCACTGCCAGTGACGGAGGAGAGATGATTGTCCTGCAGCTCTCAGAGCCATTTGTGTCTGGGCAAGGTGGGATCAGGAAGATGTGACAAGCTGGGATTAAAGGCACATGCACTGAGGAGGCAGAGGCAAGTGGAGCTGTGAGTTCAAGGGCAGCCTGGTCTACATGAGAGTTCCAAGACAGCCAGAGCACAACAGAGAGACACTGTCTCAAAAAGGGTGTTCAGGGGAGGGAGAGGAGAGGCTGGGTGAGAGTAGAGAGCTCTTTCCTGGTGGAGCTCAACTTTAGGTCCAGACTCTGGGTCTGTTGGGAAATCAGGGATGGGCAGCTGCTGGGAGCATCTCATCCTGGCTTTACCCATCAGGGCTGTGGAAGCAGGAGAGAGACAGGTGTGCTGGAGTAGGCTAGGCCAGCTGCCGGCTTCAGGACAAGCTGCCTTTCAGTGAGGAGAACCAGAGAGTAAATTACCATAGCAAGTAATGGATTTGATGGCAAGATTTTCCTTTTAAAGGTTTATTTTTAGGCATGTGTGCTTTTATTTATGGGTGAGAGGGAATGTGGGGTATGTATGTGTGGCCACACTTATTCCAACAAGGCCACACCTCCCTGATCCTTCCTAGATAGTTCCACTAACTTGAGACAAAGGGGCCATTCTCGTCCAGACCACCACCCACTGAACCTTAGTAAGTGTGTTAACCATCTGTTGCTGTGACAAAATGTACAATATAGTCAATTTATGACAAAGAAAATTGGGGGGTGTCTCACAGTTTCAGAAGTTTGGTCTGTGGCCACCTGTCTTGGTCCTGTGGGTAGCAAGTCATCATGGTAGGAGCTTGTAACAGAGGCAGCTTCTCATTGACAGCCAGGAAGCAGAAAATCAGGAAGGGACTGGGGTCACAATGTTTTCCTAAAGGGCATGTCCTCATTGACCCACTTTCTTTCTCCCAGACCACACCTCCCAAAGGTTCCAACACCTCCCTTTTTCACCTCATGCTGTGGACCAAGTCATTTAGCACTCAAGCTTTTGGGGGGACCAGTCCAAATCCACACCATAAGCCAGATGTGATGGCACACACCTTTGAGGTTAGCCTGGTCTATATATGGAGTTGCAAGACAGCCAGGACTAGAGTGAGACCCTGTCTCAAAGCAACAGATAAAGAAACAAAAATAAAACACCCACACTATATCCGTAAGATCTTTGTCAGCGTGATGTTGTTAGGCAGGGCAGTCTTTATTATGGTTTTATTACATAGGAAAAACCACCAAGTCCCATAGCCACGGCCTGGGGATGCTTGGGTGCAAGAGCTCACAATGGATTGCAAAGGGCATGTGTCAGAGTCCTCTCATGCCTTTCTCTCCTGTGACATGCCTCCCTTTTGTAAACCATTCCCCAACCCTCTTCCTTCCTTGGTAGGACCTTGCCTCCTGTGCTTTCTCCTTCCTCGGTTCCTGTGACAGCTCATCTCCTGCCCATTTCTATTCCTCTTCTGCATCTTCTTCCCGTCCCCTCACTCTAGCCCGATCATCCCCAGTTCCTCCTTTCAGGCTCCCTCATCTCCCTGGCAGAGTACATAGGCTCCTGCATTTATATTTTCGGAGCAGATCCACCTTCCATCTGATTCCCTATTGATAGATTCCTCTGCATCTCCCACCACCCAGGAGCTAGTAAATCCACGCTGTAAGCCAGATGTGGCGAGCTAAGATATCTGAACTTTCCTGTTTTGCTTGGCAGTGGCTCTTTGTGAGCTCTCTGGGTTCCTCACCCTTTCGTTCAGCAACCTGCAGTCTCCAAGCCCCATGGTCCAGCCATCTTGTTCTTCCACAGATCTCTCACTAGGATTGGCCACCCCATAGCTCAGGCTTCTGCCATCTCCTGCAGGAACTATACAGTGGCTCCCTTTTGGCTGTCAGGATCTTCTTTCTCAAATGCAAGCTGGAAAAAAAAAAACATATAAAATATTAAGTAAATCAGGGCATTCCCCTGTTCCAGGTCCCTAGGGGCTTTCCTGTGCTCCCAGAACAAAACCCAGAGCCTTCATGGGGCCCAAAGGCCTGCCTCAGGTCTCCAGATCCTGACTGCCCTGGGCTTTGCCACTGGCTCAGGAAATATCAGCCTCTTATTCCTGACAGGGTATCATGGGGCTTTGTGCCAGGAGTGTAGACTTGCACATCTCTAGAATTTTCTCAAAGCAAACCTATCAGGAACAGTGAGGGATTGAAGGGTTAGAGATCCAGGCTTCGGGTTGTCTGTGTGCTGAAGGGAGGTTGTCAGACTGCAAACCCATGGCTACAGCTGTGACTGAGGCAGCAAAAGGTGAAGAAAGTAAGTTGGGGGGGGGGGAAGAATCTTTCAGCAGGGGTGGCACGGTACGTGAAAGCACTTGCCATCAAATTTGGCGACCAGAGTTTAATCCCTGGGACCCACATAGTGGAAGGAGAGAAACTATTTCCTCAAGTTGTCTTCTGACTTCCATGGGAATGCCAATCATAGCATGTGCACACACACACACACACACACACACACAGAGGTAATTTTTTTTTTTTTTTGGTTTTTCGAGACAGAATTTCTCTATGTAGTCCTGGCTGTCCTAGAGCTCACTCTGTAGACCAGGCTGGCCTCGAACTCAGAAATCTGCCTGCCTCTGCCTCCCAAGTGGTGGGATTAAAGGCGTGCACCACCACTGCCCAGCGACAGAGGTAATTTTTAAAAAGTATTTTATTTTATTTATTGAGTGCTTTATCTGTATGTACACCTGCACGACAGAAGAGGACATCAGATCTCATTGCAGATGGTTGTAAGCCACTATTTTGTTGCTGGGAATTGAACTCAGAATCTCTGGAAGAGCAGCCAGTGCTCTTAACTGCTGAGCTATCTCTCCAGCCTGAGAGAGATAGTTTTTAAAATGTTTGAGAGAGAGAGAGAGAGAGAGAGAGAGAGAGAGAGAGAGAGAGAGAGAGAGAAGGGGGTTGTAAAATGGCTTAGTGAGCCAGGGATGGTGGTACATACCTTTAATCTAAGCATTTGGGAGGCAGAGTCAGGTAGATCTCTATCTTAGGGTTTTACTGATATGAACAGACACCATGACCAAGGCAACTCTTCTAAGGACAACATTGAATTGGGGCTGGCTTACAGGTTCAGAGGTTCAGTTCGTTATCATCAAGGCAGGAACATGGCAGCGTCCAGGCAGACGTGAGGCTGGAGGAGCTGAGAGTTCCACATCTTCATCTGAAGGCAGCTAGTGGAAGACTGTTTCCAGGCAGCTAGGAGGAAGGTCTCAAAGCCCACACCCACAGTGACACACCCACTCCAACAAGGTCCCATCTCCTAGTAGTGCCACTCCCTGGACCAAGCATATTCAAACCACCACAGTCTCTGTAGGCCAGCCTGCTCTACATAGTGAGTTCCAGGACAGCCAACACTACGTAGAGAAACCCTGTCTTGACAAATCAAATCAACCAAACAAAAAAAGATGACGTAGTGGAGAAGGGCACACAAGAACCCACAAGGTGGAAGGAGAGAACCAACTTCTGCAACTTGCCACACACACACTTAATCAATCTAAAAGTAAATTAAAAACAAAAAGAAACCAACAGGACAAGAAAGTCACTCCCCAGAAGGGGCACAGAGCTTTTCTTTCTGAAGGGACCAAGAGGTGCTGCCCTGGGCGCTGGTGAAGTGGGAAGGGCTGGGGTCGCCTGGTGAAAGGATGCCTCTGCGTCCCCACAGGCCCTGCGATGGCAAAGGAAGTGGCAACGCCCATGACGAAGAGGAATTGTATTTCCACTGTGAGTTATCTGTGCCGCATGTACCTCTGTCTTTGGCTCCTTCCCAGCTGCCACCTCCTGTTATCCCAGCAACGAGACCCCTTTCCTCAGGCTCTTTCTCTTCCTCTGTTCTCAGTCAAAGTCCCGACACGCCGCACTTTTCTGGACCCACAAAGCTGCGGGGATCCGTTGCAGGCTGTGCATTTGTTTGCCAAAGAGCTAGATGTCAAAAGCGTCACCCTGGAGAAGAGCTTGGGAGCAGGCAAGCCCCTGGACCCTAGGAGCCTGGATTCACCAGGGAGCTCCGCCCACTGGATAAACCCCACCCACCAGGCAACACCCACTGGGGAGAGTCCCGCGGTCTCTGCCACCTCTTTCCAGAAAGCTTGTCCAGTCTGTTCCCTAGGTCACTGTGGGACATCTGCACTCAGGACCTTTCTCCGGGCAGTCTCAGTTTAGTCTAACCAGGCTTTTATGGAACAGCAGGGAGAGGTTTTTCTAGTAAGCTTCGGGCCAGACACTCTTGAAATCTGATGATGGATTAACTGAGTGACTAAGAGGCTCAGCCTTTTTGGCTCTAAGCCTCAATTTCTCACCAAAAAGGGTGCTATGGGAACTCCCCCGGCTCAGGACAAGGCCTTGCTGCCTTGTTACTGTGCTCTAAGAAACGGGACTCTCCCCAGAACCCATACAACAGAAGGCAGGATGGAGCTGTAGGGCAGAATAGATACAGTCGTCTCTTGCCCCTGACTTTGCTGCGTTTAATGACCTTTGATGGGCAAGCATGTGCAAAGTTACTGTGTCTCTGTCACAGAGAAGGAGACTACGGCCAAGAGGAAAGAAAAAGACGGAGACCAAGGTTACAATGCTTCAAACTCTAGAGCTTCCCATAGCAAGCTAGAAAGGACCCCATGACCCAGAATCACATTGGTTCAGCCTACCCCAGTTGTTGTCACAGGAGTCTAAGATGCCTATTTCTTCACAGGACGATTTGGGGACCTGTGCTGTGGCTGCCTGCAGCTGCCTGGTCGCCAGGGGCTACCTGTGGCCGTGCACACTCTGAGGGATGGATGCTCAGACTCACAGAGGCTCAGCTTCCTGGCTGAGGCTCTCACCCTGGGGCAGTTTGACCACAGCCACATTGTGCGGCTGGAAGGCGTTGTCACCCGAGGTAGGCCTGGCACTGCACATCCCTGTGCTTAGCTGACTACCAGGGGATGCCCCTCTAGGCTGTGGAGTGGGCCCAAGCACAACCTTCGTTCACTTCCACACTTTCACTTTAGTGACTCAGGATGGCTCCTCTCTTGGAGTGGCTATGCTGACCCAGAATGACCTTTCCAATTTCCATGGATATTTAGAGAGTGGGTCACTGTCCCTTTGAATGATCTTTCTTAGCTGACTCCTTGCAGCTCTGACTTTGACTCTGTCCCACTATGGACAGGTTTTTTTTGTTTTTTGGGTTTTTTTTTGTTTTGTTTTGTTTTAACTTCAGCACCAGGGTGGGTGGGTGTGGGGCTGGGTGGGTGGCAAGATTAGAAATCTTGGCTTTGCTTCTGGCTGTTTTGGCTGAGATGGAGCCAGTAGGGGGCGCTGTATATAGGCAAAGGCAGCAACTTAGTGTGTCTCCATTCCTGACACAGGAAACCCCTTGATGATTGTCACTGAATACATGAACCTCGGGGCCCTTGACGACTTCCTCAGGGTGAGTAACCAGTTGGACCCCTGGGTGGGAAAGTACCAATGACATTTTTTTTGGCCCTTCTCTTTTTCTCTTGGGGCTTGGGGTTGCCAATGCTCCCACTGGGCAGGCTGACATGACGCTCACAGTACACTGAATCCCAGAGGAACTTAGTGGTTTCCTGGATGATCTGAGTGTATGGCCCTGGCTTCAGTCCTCACCCATTCCATAGCATCACGAAGGGGAGCTGGTGGCTGTGCAGCTGATGGGTCTGCTGCCTGGGCTGGCATCAGCCATGAAGTATCTGTCAGAGATGGGCTACGTTCACCGGGGCCTTGCAGCCCGCCGAGTGCTCGTCAGCAGTGGCCTCATCTGTAAGATCTCTGGCTTTGGGCGGGGTCCCCGGGACCGAGCAGAAGCTGTCTACACCACCATGGTAAGGAGTTCCCTTCTCTGGTTCCACATGCTGCTTCTCCTGCTGGCCATACCCAGCAGCCCCATGGTCTCCATATCTATGCCCTGCCTCTTTCCCTGCCTGGTGTCTCCCCTTGGGTGGTACCACACCTGTGTCAGCTGGGCAGCTTCCTCAGATGTGCCGGGGTGAGGGGAAGACATGTGGGACTGGCTGTGGGTGCTGGTGGCCTGCCTGGATGTAGCCTGCTGGTGACTCAAGGTTTTCCTGCTCTTCCCTGCTTACCCACCTAGAGTGGCAGGAGCCCAGCGCTCTGGGCAGCTCCTGAGACTCTACAGTTTGGCCACTTCAGTTCTGCTAGTGATGTATGGAGCTTTGGCATTGTCATGTGGGAGGTGATGGCCTTTGGGGAGCGGCCCTACTGGGACATGTCCGGACAAGACGTAAGTGACTTATGGCTCCAGCTCCCTGACCTTTGACCTACTGGTTCCCAGACCTCTCTTTTACTCCCATCCTGCCTAGAGTCCCTGGGATGGTGGTGGTGGTGGCGGTGGGGTGTGTCGGTATGTGTTGGGTAATTGGAAGTATTGTGTCTGCTCCCCATCTCTGGAGCCTAGGTAATCAAGGCCGTGGAGGATGGCTTCCGGCTGCCACCTCCCAGGAACTGTCCCTCCCAACTGCACCGATTGATGCTTGAGTGCTGGCAGAAAGACCCAGGTGAGCGGCCCAGGTTCTCCCAGATCCACAGCATCCTGAGCAAGATGGGGCAGGAACCAGAGCCCTCCAAGTGTGCCTCGTCCACCGGTCTCAGGTACATCCTCACTGACCCCTAAGCCAGGTCAGTCAGCCAAACTATCACCTGTCTGTAAATAGTCTCCCAAATCCCCATGGCAACCAAACCACCATTGTCCAGACCGGACAGACATCCCTACCTGCTACAGGCACATCTTACCTCATCAGGCAGCCATGGCCTGGGACTTGCCCTTTAGTTGGTTCAGCCCTCCACTTGCTTGAGTATCCTTATCCACTTCTTCAGAGGCTTTCGGGGTGCCCACGAGAGGCACGTTCGTCACCGGGTGTGCTCACCTTACTTTTCCCCCTGTCCTTTCCTGAGCTGCTTCTCTCTGCTTCTCAGGCCTCCCACCCCCCTGGCAGACCGTGCCTTCTCTACCTTCCCCTCCTTTGGCTCCGTGGGTGCCTGGCTGGAGGCCCTAGACCTGTGCCGCTACAAGGACAACTTCTCTGCAGCAGGCTATGGGAGCCTGGAGGCCGTGGCTGAGATGACTGCCCAGTGAGTCTAAGAAACCAGGGCCAGGGTTCAGGGAACCCAACCTACATGGGAAAACCCTACCTGTCCTGGTCCTGGTCCTTTCCCTGTCCAGAGAAGGGGAAGTAGAGGGTTGGCTCCATGGGAGGGGTAGGAGAGGAACTGGCTTAGTTGAATGTAACCATTCCTCTTTGCAGGGACCTGGGGAGTCTTGGTATCTCTTCTGTGGAGCATCGAGAGGCCCTCCTTAGTGGGATCAGTGCCCTGCAGACTCGAGTGCTACAGCTACAGGGTCAGGGGGTGCAGGTGTGAGCAGCTCAGCCCTGCCCAAGGACCTGCAAGCTACACTCCCCTAGGGTGGGAAGAGTGCTTTTACTCTTAGTGGGCCCTGAGCTGGTTGGTACCATGTTGTCCCATTTCATTTTTCCTCTCAACACCTTGCTGACCAAGTGGTCCTAAAATGAGGTTCAGATCCCAGGAAAGGACCCCAGATATAACAGTAGGAAGAAGGTTAGGGTGTCAAGGGAAGGTTGGGGTGTCAAGGGTGTTGGTTTGGGAAGACAGTTTGAGTTGTCCTGTTCACTTGGGCTTCCACAGTCATTGGGGATTGGGCCTAATCAGTAGGCATCTCATTTCCCCAGAGAGCTTTTGACTTGCCAGGCAGTGAGTCCCTGAGAGTGACCCATTGGCTCTGGCAGGGACCACAGCTGCCTAGGCACCTGAGTATGGGAGCCTCAGCCAGTGGGTAGTGTCCCTTACGTCCTGTGCCTTGGCTAGGTCTATCTGCACACTGGTGCCAAGGCCCTAGCAGGCAAGTGGTGCTGAGCTCAGGGACTGGACCCCCAGATGGAAACTCCAGAGTTGATGGCTTACTGCCTTGGGGCAGGCAGTTCAGGATGAGGGCCAAGCTCCTAATAGGTCACACAAAGTCCTGGTGCTTGCCCCAGCCCGGATGTCTGATTTGACTGGAACTGATTTCAGAAGAGCACAACAGAGGCTTATTCTGCATTCTGGAGGGTGGAGGAGAAAGAGCCTGAGGGAGTGGTTTGATAGGCTGGTCTAACCCCACTATATACTTGGGGAAGTCAGAGCCTATATATAGTCTCGGAGCCAGGGTTAATGCCAGACCAAAATCCAGGGAGAAGCCTAGCCCTAGAGAGCTTGTCCTGCCCTATGGCACCAGCACTCTTCCTGGGCAGCACAGTGAGTCCTCTCTGGGTGAGCCCCTTCAGGCTGTTCTGTCCCTGTACACTACATATAGTCCCCCTCCAGAGTGCCTCCCTGTGTGCTGTTCAGAGCTCTTGAAGGAGTATGGTGCTAAGCTGACCTATCTGCAAGGGCCCTGGCAGCTTTGAGACCCTGAGACCAAAGCCATCCCAGGAGGGCAGAAAGGCTGCTGGATGTGGACTGGACCACTGGGGCTAAGTTTGTCTACATGACCCCTGATGGATATCTGTTTTGCTATGGTAGGGAGGAGGGGTGGCATGGGCTGAGACAGCAGGTAGGAGTGGAGAGGGGGAGGCAGGGTAGAGAGCACCTTTGGAGCGTGCACACTAGGAAGGGATCCCCCTGAGGCACAGGGAAATGGGCAGGTGGACTGTGGATTATGTTTGTGTAGCCAGGGAGTTGAGGGTGTCCAAAAAAGGCTTCTTAAAGTCAAAATTGAATAAGGCCTTGAGGGGTAGGGTGTTCTCAGCTTAGGATGAATAGAGTCATCATCAGGCTTGGAATCCAGGCAAGGACGTCTAACAGAAAGCCTGGAGGCGGGGCTGGAAACCATAATGCATCTTTGGGGAGTACCCACAGTGGGGAGCAGTGATTCCTAGCAGTGCCTTTGGCCTTGACCTGACAGCAGCTCTTTCTTCCTTAGAGTCTACCCCATTTCTAGCTCTCTGCACGCCTGACTGAGCTCAATGACTGTAGGAATACTGGGGTAGACTGGGATACTGCTCCCACCTTTGACAGCACTGGGGGAATAGAAACATCCCCACATGCTCTTCCTTCATCCTCCCTCCTTGGGAAACTGGCCCAACATCTAAGGCTCATGGGACCAGTGCCCTGTCTTGGGTGATCGGAACCTCACTCCCATCTCCAGCTACATCAGTCATTAAGGTCAAACTCCTCCCCTCCGCAGCTGTTTGCAGAGGGGTCCCTGGCTGTGCTGGCAGGACTTCGGTGTCCAGGGTAGACCTTCCCTCTCATGAGGAGGTCCTAGAATCCTGAGGGCTCCCAGGCCTCAGCCCTGCACAGGCACCAGCATGATACAGGGTGCTGGGTCACTGGGGACCCTCCACAGATCTATTTTTATATATGGAGCTGTTGACTGGACAAATGGAGGCCATCTGCAACCCACATTGCCCTGTCACCTACCCAGGGAGGGAGGGACTGGTTGTGGGTAGAGGCTCCCACATGGAACTCTGGAGATGTGTTTATATTTCTGGGTTCTATATGCAGTACCAAGTAATAAAAACTTGTCTGTGATGGTCCTCCTGTGTGGCACTGTTGATGCACAGAGCAGCTGTGAGTGGGGATCCCGAGCACAGCCTGGGTATGCATGTGCCTGAGAACCTTCTTTGTGGATTGTCTGTTTCTGCTATGAAGAATGCAAGTCTAGTAGAGGCTCAGGGCATGAGACTGGACGAGGGCAAGGGGCATATGGGACACACTGGGTGTCACGAGGCGGCTTCACAAAACCAGTCAAGTCAAGGTGCTGGAGGAATCGGTACCTATGGCTTTTGTGGAGCTGGGGACAGGAAATGACTGGTTGGGTTATAGATGGCCACGTGAGCTGCTCCAAGACCGAGACAGTTTAGGACACAGGTGGATAGCTTGGACCTTGGAGCATAGATGTGAGCTAGAGACTTTCTCTAGGGTCACCACAGAAAGCTGAAGCCACTATGGGAGGGAGGCCGCCCAGTGAGCACAGGGAGTAGGAGGGAATCCTGGAGAAGCTCCAATTACAAGGTAGCTGAATGGAGGGACCCAGGAGCCCAACTGCAAGGAGCCGTAGAAAGGAGAAGACAACCAGTGTGGAAAGCTGGACGACAGGAGAGACCTCCCTCAGCCCCAGGACTGAAGTGAGCAAGAAGCATGATGGGTAGGTGCCCTGCCCTCTTGGCCAAGTCCCACACTCTGACGTTCTTCAGTTTATCCTCCTCAGCTCCTGGGACAGAGGGTGGGGAACACACCTGGCCTGAGTTACCACAGCCCTGGATCCTGTGGTCCCTTTTGAGGTGAGATTTTGCCCACAGAAAATGTTCCATACTCCTGAGAAGGCAGCTGTTTAGGCTGCCCACATAGCTGCAGCTCCCAACCAACCAAAGTGAGGCAGATACCGGAGTACTGACTTAAAAACTACAGCAAATGAAGATTTATTGAAAACAGCAAGCTTTCAGTAGAACAAATCAGCTGAGATGGTAACTACTCAGAATGATGTGTATAAAAGCCTCAGCAAAAGAAAACCAACTTGGAACACAACTGCCCACAGAGGACAGAAATAACAACAGAACATAACAGGGAGAGCCATGCACCTAGACCTGCAAGGAGCGCAGACCCAATGCTGACTGCATAGCCTACCTGGGCCCTGCCTGGGGCGAAGGTTACACTTGCCCTCTAGGACAATGTTCTAAGCAGTGTACAGCCTTGTGGGACCTCGAACCATAGACAGTTCTCAGTCACTCCGCACCAGGCACATAAAGACCCTGACTAACCCTGTGTTCCCCATCTAAATTCCCACTAAATAGAAGTGTACAGCACAGCAAGACCCCACAGCTGTCAGAAACAAAGCACCATTGCAGATGTTGGCAGGTGAAGCACCCCACAGAAGGAGTGAAGGACAGATGTGCGAGTTCTGCTACAGCAGTCCCTGCTGCCACCCGTGTGCCCTGCTGTCTTCTCATCGGCCCGTCCGTATGCTGCTGCAGATCTGGGCAAGGCGGCTCTAAACAAGGAGAGAGGTCATTCAGGATGTGGCTGGCACGCTAGCCCAGTCAGCTCTTAGTCTACTCAAGCACAGGACTGTTTTTAAAGATATATTTTATGTGTGTGGAGGTGTCTAGTGTTTGTGGAAGCCAGAAGAGGCACTGGATCCCCTGGAACCGGAGTTAGATGAATTGCCATGTTTGCTGGAAGCCAAACCTGGGTTCTCTGCAGGAGCAAGTGCTCTTAAGCACTGAGCTGTCTCTCTAGTTTCCCAAGCCTGGATCTGAGTGATTCTTCCTTCTGTTGGTTTTTTTTTTTGTATTGTAAACTGACCAGCGAGTAGGTGGAGACTCATTTCTTAAATGAAACAGTGAGGCCCACGGATGCTGGAGGATGACTCTCACCTGACGTCTATGAGACCTTAGTACATAGTTAGGATCCCAGCTCCAGGCCTGGCCTATCCCTGTGATCCCCTCCACTGACGTCCATAAGGGTGGGCCTCCAGCAGCCATGCCTGTAGCCCAAGCTCCCACCCTCAGCCAAGCACAGGTGACCGTCTGCCCCTCTTGAGAATTTAAACTGAGACAGCAAATGGATCAGTGCTGGCAGTGGGCAGTAAAGTAAGAGCTGGGTTATGCTCCTCAGAGCCCACAAAGGCCAGTGTCAAGGGCAACCTCCTCCCTGTGGAGATCAATCTGGGACTCACCGAGAGTTTCTTAATGTTTCCCAAGGCCTCTGGATTCAGCTGAGCAATATCAACCCTCTGCAAGTCACTGGCCAATAACCGCAAGCTCTAGATGGGGGGGCAGGGGGGGAATGACACACTTTCAGACTGGAACAATCAGCCAGTGTACCCAGGGTCTCCTTGATATTCTGCATATAGTGACAGAAATCAGCAGGGATGGAGAGATGACAATGAGGGTGGATGCTAGACCTCAGGAGACAGTGACACCATCAGTGAGTGGGCCACTGGCTCAGTTATACAAGTACAATACCACACAACATCAGAGGTCAGTCCCCTCCTCTCATGCAGGCCCAACTGGTTAACCTGCTCTCCAAAGCACCAAGAAGCCAGGCCAGCCTGTCTTAGGATCTCTGAAGACTGCTGAGTTGGAGCTCCACAGGTCCACCCCAGCTGTGCCCTCCTCTGCACTCCCTCTAGTACCCGTTACTGTTACACTACAGATAGGAACACTCCAAGCCCACTGTGCCCACTGGGATGCTTCTCAAGGGCAGCAGAAGGCAGGTGAAGGGCAGCTGGGCCTCGAGCCTGGGAGACAACACTAGCTCGGAGTGCTGAGGCAGTGTGATCAGGACCCACCCTCTGAGCGACTCTTCAGTGTCTCTGAAGCAGGGGCTGGCAGACAACTCAGGGAAAAGAGAGGTCTCACTGTGCAGCACACTGTGGCCTGGCTTTCCAGGGTGCCACTTACCGCACCGCCACCTATGGGCACACTCAGGGAGATCTCTTTGCTGTCTGCGAGAGGGCTGCCGTTGATGGAGATGTTGTAAACCTGCTCTTTGGCTGCTGGAGTGCGTAGCCCTGGAGTCTTGAAGACCCTAAAAGGTGGAGATCTCCGTGAAGATGGCTGGGCAGACTGAATGACACCTTCACAAACCCTTCCAATCCCATCTTATCTCAAGCTGTAGTTTTCAAGTCACATATTCCTAAGGTGGCAAATCCTAAATTTAGGGAAAATATTTTTAAAGCTGTAATGACTGAACACAGCTGGAGAAAGGAAGCTGCACTTATCAAACGTGCATCCAGCAAAAGCCAACCTGTACCCAAGCAAACTGAAGGCCAAAGCTCTGCACAGGTGCCCATCACCCACCCATGCATAGAACCAAGCACATGGGGTCCTGTGCTCCCATCCTGAGGAACTCTCCAGGTCAAAAGCAGCTGATTCCCAGACTACATCACAGTGACCCCCAGACCACCAAACTGTGACACATTTCTTCCAAAATGGGGTTCCCTGGCTGTCTCTAGAGACAGTGGAGCAGAAATGAAAAGCATCAAGTCTGCTCACTTCCTGTTCTCCTCCTTAGAAGTTACAGGTCTTACTTCCTTATCCTTCCACGGGGAGCGAGCAACAGGGACACATAGCACCCTTGTTCCTTTTCTCTAAGAAGGGTCTCTTATAGCCCAGGTTGGTCTTAAACTGGCTAGCTGTATAGCCAAGGATGACCTTGAACTGACCTTCTTGCCTCCAGCTCCCGAAGGCTGGGATTACCTGCTGGGATCTCCAGTCCATGCTACCACCACTCCTCCTTAAAGACTCTGCACAGGTTTCCTACCTGGTCAACCAGCCCCAAGGCAGGCATTAACTTCTGCTGTAAACAGGCTTGCTCCGTGGGCTTCAGGAAAGGTGGTATCACTTTTCTTCTTTCCAAAGTACAGAAGTAAGCAACTACTCATTTAAATGCCATCTGACCAGAATTAGAGAAGGCTATAAAAGCAGAGGCTTTTGGGCTGGTGAGATGGCTCAGTAGTTAAGAGCACTGACCGCTCTTCTGGAGGTCATGAGTTCAAATCCCAGCAACCACATGGTGGCTCACAACCACCCTCAATGAGATCTGATGCCCTCATATGGGTGTCTGAAGACAGCGACAGTGTGCTTACATATAATAAATAAATAAATATCTTAACAAACAAACAAACAAACAAACAAAGCAGAGGCTTTCCAGTCACCACAAGCCTATGCTCTTGTCAGGTGAGGAACTGAAAACAGGGTCAGGGCAGGAGCCAACAGTGGGAACCTCAGCCATGCTCTGAGGTGTCCCATGCCAAATACTCAGGTGCATCACCTGCACTACCAACTGGGCTCCACCCAATCCCACTGCTGCTCTTGGTACTCACCGGGAATCAAACCGAGGTGTCATGCCTGGGGTTGGTTTCACCAGGGATGGCTCCAGCCTGCTCATAGCTGGCGTTACAAAGTCATGGCTTAACCTGCAGGTAAGATACAGCCATGAGGGGTTTCAAGTCACAGGTGCAAGGATGACAGTAGCCACAGAGGTCATGTCACATGTGCCCTGTACCCATCACATTGTGTAGCCTCCGAGTTGCCTGGGAGGGAGCACTGTTTCCATCCATTTACGGCTGCAGATGCTCATCACAGTAAGGAATTTCCCTACGGTCGTCCAGCAGTGAGGAGCAGGCAGGCTGAGGCCCACAGTCTGTGGCAGCATGTGAATTCCAAGCCAGGAGGAAGAGCAGGAAAGGCTCCCACTCTCTCTGGCAGCTGGCTAACATTCGCAGTCGGTGCCCTGGTATGGCCTGCTCTCCTTCAAATACATGTCCCCAAGTTGTTGTCCCTTCCTCACAAAGGGTTCCTAGGGAGTCCCTGAAATCCACTTGAACCCATTGAGATTCCTAACTTAGCAGGGCCAGGAGGGGCATTTCAAGAAAGTATGGGGCTGGAAAAAGGGCTCTATGGTTAAAAGCACTTCCTGCTTTTCCAAAGGACCCGAATTCGGTCCCCAGTACCCATACTGGGCAGCTCTAGCTGCTAGCACCTCATTCCCAAGAGCCCTGCCTGCCTCTATTTCTGCCACACTGAAGGGGGTTCTCCAAGAAAAGCAAACAACACATCTATCCCTAGAAAACCAATCACCTTTTGCTTCGGCTTCTTCCTCGAATGGACTGGGCTCTCTTAGACGGAAGGCATCTTTTGACCTAAAGGCACAAACCTCAAGTCACTTAAAGCCTGGCAAAGAAGAAAAGAAAGATAAAAAACAGAAGAGAAGAAGAACTGGCTTTTGAAAGGAAAAATAAACTCAACAAAGAGGGTTCATCACAGTTGAACACAATGGTACCAGATAGGCTGAGGCAGGGGAACAGTGAGTTTAAGGCCAGCCTGGGCTATACAGTCAGACTGCTTTAAACCTAACCAAACACACAGGGGCCACTGTAGAGAATTTAGTGGTTAAAATATGTACAATCTGAGAACTCTTTATGTATATGCACGTGTGTGCACTCAGACACAAGTGGACCTGGAGACCAGAGACACATGCTGGGTGTTATCCTCCAGTGTTCTACCTTGTTCGAGACAGACTCTCACTGAACTTGGAGCTAGTCAGGGTGGTTTGTTCCCACTACTTCCCTAAAGTACCACTATAGGGTCACCCAGGACATCCTAGGTGCCCAATGCAGGGAATCCTCTGCAGTCCTAACCTGGTATGGGAATACCTGACAAGAATTCTGTGCCTCTCCCCTGACCCCACCCCATCTCTCTTTCTGGTTGACTGTGTGAGTTTTTGTCAGGAAATCAGGAATTCCTTTCCCTCCCCCCTCTAGTGCCCACATGAATGTACAAAGACCCAGGTGTTAGAATATCTCTTCTCTCCTCCATCCTGCTATTCCATCTAGCCCAGATGTCCTGGGAAGCCAGGGAAGGCAGCTGGCAGGCGCTCCCCTGGCACCTTAACTAGTCACTCTGCCTCCAGGGATAGTCCAGAACGCATTTATCATCTCTGTTTTCTTCTTTCCTAGGCCAACAGAGCATACTTTTCTTCATAGGATGCACCCCAAAAATCACCCTTATTTATTTATTTATTTATTTATTTATTTATTTATTTATTTTAAATAGGCATTAAACTTCAGGTTATCCTGGCTGGGTGCCTTGCCCTCTTCCATTTATTCTGAGTAGTTGGTTTTTACTGGCCTCCATTTCTCTTGCAGCTTCTATCCCAGCCAAACCAAACCTCTTCCTAATCCTCACAAAGATTCTCTTCGCCTGTCCCAAGCTCTTGTTCCCTTCTGTGTGTGTTCTAAGCGTCCCGCTTCCTCCTCTTCCTGATGTACACTTTATACTTGCACCAAGGGGCAACCTGTGCGCTCTGACAGAGTGTAGTCTTCTCTTCTGTGAGCTCTGCCAGCACAGCACTGCATTCCACATTCAAAAAACACAAAACTGCTTTATGTGCATGGGTGCTTTGTCTGCAGGTGTGTATGTGTGACACTGTGCCCGGGGCTGTGGAGGCAAGATGTCAGAGAGCTAGGGACTGGAGTTATACACAGTTGTGAGCCACCATGTGGGCACTAGGAAGTGAACAGAGGTCCTCTGCAAGAGAAGGCCATGCGCTAACTGCCAAACCATCTCTCCAGCCTCAGCCCACACATTTCTGTACTTGTGGGTCTCCTGCTGGCACTGATTCTTAACAAAACTTGACTCCCTACTTACTCTTGCAGATCGAAGATTCTTATGGCTCTTTCTTCTTCTTCTTCCTCCTTCTTCTTCATCTTCTTCTTCCTTTATTGCTTCATCCACCTCGATTACCTTTCGCTCTATAAGAAGCAGTTTTAAGGGTTATTTCTGTCAGAACCTGTTCTGCTCAGTGGAGTTCACAGCACTTCCTTCCATGTAAAAGCCCCTTAAAAATGAGAATTTGTTACTTCCACTAGAATCATTCATTCATCTTAAACAACCCTGGTAATCCTTGTTTTCTCCCAAGATAATTATGTCATTTATAAATAGTAATGTAATAACTAGTAGGTTTGTTTTTTTTTGTTTTTCAAGACAGGGTTTCTCTGTGTAGTCCTGGCTGTCCTGGAACTCTCTCTGTAGACCAGGCTGGCCTTGAACTCAGAAATCCGCCTGCCTCTGCCTCCCAAGTGCTGGGATTAAAGTCGTGCGCCACCACTGCCCGGCTGGCTTGCTTTCCTTCTTTCTTTCTTCCTTTCCTCCCTCCCTCCCTCCCTCCCTTCCTTCCTTCCTTCTAATAACTACTACTTTTTAACATGTGTTTCATATTGTCAATGGGTCTTTTGTTCATTCAATCCACAAATAACAACAGCAGGCACAATTTTAGTTGTCTCAGTTACAGACAAGGCAACTGGCAAGTCTTCATTAAAGCCAGCTCAACTAGAAAGCGGCAGTGCCAGGTGTCACGCTCATCTCATTGTCCTCTTTAGTAGTTTTTCCATTTGTGTGGTTTCTTTCTGTTTGTTTGTTTTTGATAGGGTATTGCTACATATCCTATGCTGGCTTCAAACTCACCACATAACCCAAGCTGCCCTCAAACTTGGAATTCTCACGCTTTAGCATCCCATGTTTAAATCCTCTTTTATAAAAGCCTTCCTGGAGGGTTAGAGACGGCATGGTTAAGAGCACTTGTTGCCCTTACAAAGGATTCAGATTCAGATCACAGCACACTCATGGTAGCTCCCACCTATGACTCCAATTCCAGGGGATCTGATGCCCTCCACTGACTTCCTCAGGCACTGGGTATGCATACGTAATTTTATATATGGACACACAAAAAAAATCATTTTTTTTTTTTTTTTTTTGGTTTTTCGAGACAAGGTTTCTCTGTGTAGCCCTGGCTGTCCTGGAACTCACTCTGTAGACCAGGCTAGCCTCGAACTCTCGAACTCAGAAATCCACCTGCCTCTGCCTCCCAAGTGGTGGGACTAAAGGCGTGCGCCACCACCGCCCGGCCACAAAATAAATCTTAAACAGAACAAAACAAATTATTATCAACAAACATTTTGTTACATAAATACAAGCTAGGAGCTAGAAAATCTCAAGCAGAGACTATATAAAGAAAATTCAGGTATTTATGAATATATATGTGTGTGTCTTGTGTGTATGTGTGTGTGTGTGTGTGTGTGTACATTTAGCCCAGGCTGGCCTCATACTCAACTCTGTAGCTTAGGCTGAGTTTGAACTACTCACACCCCTGCCTCCATCTCCCAAGTACTAGGAGGGTAGTTGTGTCCCACCATGTGTGGCTTTGCTGTTATTGTAAAACAGCGTCCCTTGTAGCTGTAACGTCAAAGGGTTATAAAAACACTTGCTAACCGTTGGTTGATGATGGTCCTGCTGTATTTAGTCCCAGGGATGAAACCAGAAGACACAGCCCATCTGCTAACCCTCACTTAGGTAAGCAAAACTCATGGAACACAAAGAGAAGGTGATTTTATCTAAATACCCAAGTGACAATGGAGGCCAGACATAATGGTACACACCTTTAATGCCAGTGCCTGTAAGGCAGGGACAGGTGGACCTCTGCCAGTTCAAGGCTAGCCTGGTCTATATAGTGAGTTCCAGGACAACCAGGGTTATGTAGACAGATCCCATCTTAAGAAAACAAAACCCAAACAAACAAACAGGAAAGAGATAGAGGACCTAGCACACTGAACAGGACTAGGAACGCTAGCCAAGTCCCATCCTATGTGGAGTGGGCAAACACCTCATGCTCTCTTCAATCTACAGGACAGGTGTGATGGATGGAAGCTCACAGAATTAGCAATGGTTCTGGTTCAGTGTTAAACGCCCTGGGAAGCGGCCTGCACATCCAGGCCATGGTTCAGGCCTGCCCTCACCACGGTTGAATGCATCGAGCTGCCGCTGAGCAATGACAGTGACATGTGGTCTAGTTTTTTTTTTTTTTTTTAAAGGTCCAGGCTCTAATTCACCCAACTTGATACCATGCTCACTACTTATAGCGTGGCAAGACAGTTCAGGAGGTAAACTTGTTGCTGCCATGCCTTATATCCTGAGTCCAGTCTCTTTGACCCACATCTACAGTGAGAGAGAACCTGCTACTGTAATCTGTCCTATCAGCATACACCACCCTACTCCCAAATAAGTAAATGTAACAAGTCTCACAGTATGGGACATACATGTGACATGATTTTGCACAAACAGGTCCATGAATGCAGCCACAAGAACTCAAATGCTGACAAAAGTGTTTCTCTGAGATTCTCTTCAGGCCTGCTGAGGATGCCAGGGAGTCTCACTCATACTTCTGGAGAAAGTGTGCTGACTGAGGCCTGTCTTCAGCACAGATTTCCCCCTTCTTTCACTTCTACTTTAGCTCACACATTAGTCTTCCAACCGCTGAATACAGTGACCCAAAGCAAAATTTTATACGTAACAAAACCAAGGGCCAGAGAGACACACCAATGAGGCCCAGTCTGAGTAGCCAACAAAGCTCCCTGGATCTCAGCTCTCTGTTCCACAAGGGTTTGAAATGCACTGTCTCTAACCTCAGCACTGAGGCAGGAGGATAGCCAGCTCCAGGCTCACTTATGTTGTACACTGAGACTCTGACTTAAATCATTAAAGGTCTTGGGAGATGGTTAATAGATAACATGCTTACCATGTAAGCAAGTGTGAGGAATGGAGTTCAGACACACAGAACCCAGGGCAATGCCCATCAATAATCCCAGCCTTTGGTGGATGGAGACAGGGCATGTGACATGCTGGCTAATTAGACTGGCTGAAGAGGCAAGCTCTGAGTTCAGCAAGAGACTGTCTATAAAGTGGCTAACACCCAAGGTCAGCAGCCTCTACCTCCATACACACTCACACATTTATCTGCGCTCTCTCACACACCATATACATACACAAGATTATACAAAAGACAAGTACTCACTTTTAACAGACTTCAAAGGTGTCTGAATAGCTTCAGCTGTTAAATTGTTTATTTCTGTGATGTCTTGATCAGCCTGTGACAAACAGCCAGAAAGTGGTAGGCTTAGTCTAAGAAACAGTAAGTTAAGGTACAAACGAATTCTAAACTTATCACACAACTCAAGACCAAAGACCTTGCCCATAACTTGCTTCTGGCTATGCGTTCTTTCCTTGCTCTGGTTCCTTGTCTCTTCTGTCACACCTCAGAGGCAAACCACGATTAATTACTTCACTTGTTTAGGAGGGAGTTTACGGATTTGGCTGTGTCCATGTATGCATGCACGTACGTACATATGTATGTATGTATACGTACACACACGTACACATGTATGTTTATGTACACACACTTTGCAGAACGTGAAATGATTTTCCATTTTATTTGCATATTAGTTGTTTGAGACAGGGTCTTCCTACTCAGCCAAGAGGAGACTAGGTTCATAATCAGTCCTTCCTTCATGGGACACATGTAAACATGACTTGACACAGGAGGATGGGTAGACGGATAGAGACTGCAGACAGTGATCGGGAGATCACTCTGAGGCTGTCTATGCTGAGCTAGAAACAGTTCTCTAACAGACTAGTCTTGTCTACCATGCTGATAAAAAGGAAGCGGGACACTGCTACCAACTTTGCACCATCTGTAGTAATGACTGCAGGCTTTGAGCTCACTGCTGGTGGCAGGCCACTGACACAGTGTAAGAGTTAACACTACAGGCTTGTCTGCAAGGTTGGATTTTGGCTGTCTACTGAGACCAAGGATTCTAGGATTCCTCATTCCTGCCTAGAATAGCTCTCTCTGTGCTTAAATTTCATGCAAATTTAGTTTACATGTTATTAATACCTGCTTTTCTCTGCTAGGCAGAGGACGCCCAAGTGCCTAAGACTCAGGAAAATCTACATGGAGTCTTGAATGAGCTTGTATACTAAGACAACGGCTCAGGTACATTGAATTAAGCTTGTCCTGTGATTCCACTGGAGGGAGATTCCTGGAAGCTTATACCTGGCTTCCTCTGGTTTTGTTTTGTTAAGACAGGGTCACTCTGTGTATCCCTGGCTATCCTAGAATTCACTATGTAGACCAGGGTGGCCCCAATCTCTAGAGATCCAGGTACCACTGCCTTCTGAATGCTTGAATTAACGGGATACACCACCTGCCCAGCTGCTTGACTTCTTCTGAACTACATAGGACATGTCCTGTTTACCTTACTCATCTGCTTTGTACTCTTGGGATAAGTGTTATCGCCATGTGTATAACTATAGGCTGAGGCTTATCAATCTTCCCAGGGTACCGGTACCACACCAGCAACTCTACTGTTTGCAAGGCTGAGGCAGGAGAACCAACATGCTCAAGGAAGCCTGGCTACATGGTGGCCTTGGGAGCCCCAGTAAACCTAGGTCAGAGCCTGGTGGCCAAAGTATCATTCCTTTCCTGGGTTTCAAATCAAAGCTAAAGTTGGAATTCTTTCAATTTGGTGTGGTAGTGTTGGCTCTCCCACATTGCACCACAAGGCTTATTTGCAGTTCTGTGTCTGCCTAATTTAAAATGAGAGAGACATATTAGCTAATGAGTGTGATTCATCTAGAATGTTTTGAAACATTAAATCTGGGTCTCTGCAAGGGGATAAGTGAAATGAGTCATGGAACTTATTGCAATGAGAGAGAGTGTGGACTAAGATGCTTTCCCAGCTCCTGGTCTGCTTCACTGTTTCCATCCTTCTACAGCACACATAGCCAATGCTTTATCTTTCCCTAACTCAAGACTGCCTTCTAACTATCTTTTAACTTCTGACGCTGATGGATACCTGCTACTCTGCAAGGTCAAAATCGTTCTTTCTCTGTCCTGTCCAAATGGTGGCAACTAGTAACATGGCTGCTGGCCATCACAGACGTAGACTGCCTGAACAAATAAAGCCTTCATTTTTGCCTCCCTCTTTGCTGTTTTCAGTCTTGGGAGTGATGCTAGGAGCGAATATCAAAAGGGTCACAGTGCACCGAGTCTCTAGACAGGGTCAGGATCACTTGAGCAGTGTGGCATGGTAAGGCCAGTCTGTGACCCTCCTAGGCTGGGTCACAACTTAATGGGTTTAAATGGACTTAAGCTCCAAGGTTCTCTACTTCCCTTGCAAGTTTATGGTAAAAAGACCACAAGGAAGCTGTGAAAATAGAACTGATTCCCATGGATGGTTTAGGAATGACAAATCCATCCTTTCCTACGATACTGTGCGTAACATGAACCATGTCTGTGATCAAAAGTGTGCACTTTTCCCCAAACCAAGCCAGGATCCTAGGCTGGACACCATGAATTCAAGTCTAATACTAACCATCTAAGAACACTATCAGATCCTGTGGTCCCTCCCCACCACGTACCTAACGGCAGCCTTAAGTTACTTACCCTCCATTCTGACCCACTGGCTACAAATAGGGGTCCCCACTACTGTATGAGTCTAGAGCTGCTCTCTCAACTCCGAGAAATACTTTACTTCATGAATTATGTGTGCATGTGTCTAAGCCCTCGTGTGGTCAGAGGACAACTTTCATCAATGACTCTCTCCTTCTACCATCTGGGCTCCAGGTATTTAACCCAAGTTGCCAGTTGTAGCGTCTACCTATTGAGCTATTTTGCCAGCCCTACATTTGGCAGTTTATGATAGAAATTCTCACAAAGGGTATATATAGAAAGAGACTGTGGGGGAATAAAACATCCCTTCCCAAATACACTTCTCTGGCACCTTTCCAGCTGGTTACTCAGAATTACAGACCTCTATGGGTGGCCAGGCTGCCTCTGAGCAGCTCTTCTTTGGTGGAATCCACTCTACATTCTCTGCAGTAGCAAACAGCAGAGGTGGGCAGAGTCTTGACAGTGGAGTTCCCAGCTGCCTAAGATTTGCATAGGCAGACTGCAAGGCTAACACTGGCCTAGCCAGAGGTTAGATGGATGGCCCAGGAGACTGCTTATGTAAACAGGATAAACTTTGCTCTCCTTAGGATCTTTTCCTCACCTCCCATAATTTGCAGTCACCTCTTTCCCTCCAAGGGTCTCAAGCCCCTATTTTTAACCCTTTAAGTTTCTTTCCCTATCTTCTGAGGAATCCCCATATTCATCTACAGTTGTATGTTTATAAGCTAATCTGACCATTTCCAATTTACTTCATAGATTAACATTATTCATCCTCAGAGGGAAAAGGAAACACAAACTTCCCTACCAAATCCTAGATAGGGCAAAGTGTTGGGGAGAAGTCACAGAACTCCCATGTCCTTCCGCTGTGCACCTCTCCCCACTCTGGTAGTTCTCAAACCCTGTTTGTTTAGGGGTACATGGAGGAACACAGGCATGACTGACTGTTGGTCATTGGCCATCAGCTTACTTTTAGGCCTTTAGTCCTCTGAGGGTATAGCTTAGTTCCCCAGCAAACAGGACCTCATCCAGGATGACTGAGGACTTTCCACAGGTCATTTCATTAACACAAACCCAGGCAAGGCTAACAGATGCTTGCTGTGACTAGCAAAGGACTCTCACCACTCTAACCATGGAGTTGCACAGAAAAAAAGGCCAACTTTTCTAATATAAGATGGTCTCATAGTCTTATGAAACTATAAGGGGGCAGGGAGTAGGAACTGGACAGACAACTCTGGTTGAAAGTACTAGTTGTTCTTACAAAGGACCCAGGTTCAATTCCCAGGACCTACATGGTGGCTCACAATCATCTGTAACTCCAGTTCAAGGGATCCAGCACCTTCTTCTGACCCCCGTAACCAAACATGCGTGTGGTATACATACATCAGGCAAAACATACATGCACATTAAATAAATAAATCGTTAAGGGGGGTGATACAGAACATGTGGGCAAGAATGTAGATAAAATCCTCCAAATATACTTGTATACATTTGTTCTCTGGTACCCGTGGAGGTAGGCAGGAAGATCATGAATTCTAGGCCAGCCTGTGTGATTTCTCAGGAAATCAAAAAGTAAATAAAATAGAATAGTATTTGCATATAACTTAAAATGTCTTATAGTTTGTTTATTTTAAATTTTCTCTAAACAAATCAGAACATTTAACACAAGGTAAATACTATGCTAACAGTTGCTCAGTTGTAGTGCTTAGAGAATAAGTATGTAAATATTTAGTGTAGATACAATCTATTTGTTTCTGAGCATTTTTGACCCATAGTTGGTTGCAAGCCCAGAGGAAGAACTCACAGATGGAAGGGAGAGACTACCACACAGCACACTCCTCTTTTAGGACTGAGATTTCTTTGGACTTCATGTATGCTGTATCTTGACACAAGTATAAGAGTTGACACAGGGGCTGGAGAGATGGCTCAGCGGTTAAGAGCACTGACTGCTCTTCCAGAGGTCCTGAGTTCAAATCCCAGCAACCATATGGTGGCTCACAACCATCTGTAATGGGATTGGATGCCCTCTTCTGGTGTGTCTGAAGAGAGTGACAGTGTACTCATCAATAAAATAAATAAATAAATCTTAAAAAAAAAAAAAAAGAGTTGACACAGATAACACCCCCTGACAAACCTTTTCTACAGTATACACTCAGTAGTTGGATTTTTTTTTTGACAGAATTAAACTTACAAACTAACCAACTCAAAACCAAGATGGTTCACTTACTGTTGCTGCCTCTTCCAGGGCCTGCTTGTTTCCTCCTAGGGCTTTAAAAAGAACATCACATTTCGTTACTCTCAGGTTCGGATGATGACTGCCTTTCTAGCACTATCAGTTATCTTTCTCAAATGGATCAGCGAAGCCTTCCCTCTAGCTCTGTCTTTAGATCTCTCTCCAGTGTGGCCCTCCCAGTCACAGCTAGTGAGTCTACCATCTCTGTCCTCAGAGTTCCTGTTGTCTCCCAAACATGCTATCCTCAGAATCAGAGCTTTGATATTTGCTCAGTACAATTCTCTATACCCTAAAAACTTCTATTCATTATTTAAAACTCAAATGCCACGTTAAAACTGTTAATACTTCTATAATAGACTGCTTCAAACTGTAAATACTTATATACAAAGTACAGTAAATTATTCAAAAGCTACTAAAGCTACTCAGGTATCTACTCCTGCCTGAACTGAATTTGAGATCATATCCCTTGGTCCTGGCAGGAAGGTACAGAATGAAAGCTTAGGTGAGCTCATTACAAATTTTCGAGGGCCCAGCGGTGGTGGTGGTGGTGGTGGTGGTGGTGGTGGTGGTGGTGGTGGCGGCGGCGGCGGCGCACGCCTTTAATCCTGGCGCTTAGGAGGCGGAGGCAGGCAGATCTCAAGAGTCTGACATCAGCCTGTGTTACAGTATATTTGTGAACCTCAGGATTGTGTTGTTTACTAGAAAAACCTGTTTTTAGCTGTGGTGTGGCCCAGCCTTAACGCACATCTTTATTCCAAGAGCTTTTTGCTTGAGTACTGTAAACATGAAGTCAAGAGATAGACAGCTGACAGGAAGTGAGCATAGGATTATTAAGAAAACCATAGAGAGCAAGAGCAAGTCAGGAGGTGGACAGACACAGGAAGTGAGCATAGGATTATTAAGAAAACCATAGAGAGAAGAAAGAGCAAGTCAGGAGGTGGATAGACACATAGGAAGTAGAAGGGAGGGGCATTCGATTTAAAGGAGGTTTCTTGAGATGGCCCGAGAGGCACGCCTTCTAGCACATCAGCTGAGGAAGAAAGTCAGCTGGGTGTTTTCTCTGCTTCTCTGAGCTAGCAGGCTTTCACTCCAGCATCTGGCTTCCAAATCTTCATAGGTAAAAATCGAACTATTGAGATTTTGTTAAATCAACAAGCCTAGTCTAGAGAGTGAGCTCCAGGACAGCTGGGGCTACACAGAGAGACCCTGTCTCAAGAAAAAGAAAAAGACAAAAAACCAAGATGACTACAATTAAAAAAAAGAAAAAGAAATCCTCATGGAATCCTGGGTATACAGTTAAGATCTCAGGTCTTACAGATAGAATGCCTGGGGAGTAAACGGACTCTGCCTCCATATATGAGAACCTAAGTCATGAATCTCTCTGTGCTTTAATCTTAGCATTATAAAACTGGTCTACTTGCTGGTGGCACAGGACTTTGTAGATAGAGGCTGGTGGATTTCAAGTGTTTTCAAGGCCACCTTGATTTATATAAGAACCCCAGAATAGGCCGGGCGGTGGTGGCACATGCCTTTAATCCCAGCACTTGGGAGGCAGAGGCAGGTGGATTTCTGAGTTCGAGGCCAGCCTGGTCTACAGAGTGAGTTCCAGGACAGCCAGGGCTATACAGAGAAACCCTGTCTCGAAAAACAAAACAACAACAACAAAAAGAATCTCAGAATAGCCAGGGCCACAGACCAAACTGGCTTATCCTATTAATGCTTAATTCATACTTACTGGCAACCACTCCCATCTTTTTTGTAGTACTTGTATTTCTAAATTCTGTATGAATTTTTAAATGGTCCTTCTCCACTACCCTGTAAGTTTCTAGGGGCGAGGACAATGTCTACTTTTCCTAGGTGCATCTTTAGTACCTAGCATATGACTGACACTTTACTTTGTAGAAATGAATGAACAGATGGATTAATAAGGCATGACAGAAGAATCGTGATGCTCTTGTGAGCAAAACATGCACTTCCACCTAGGAAGAAAGAGACACACTGGTAGATATTAGTGATGAGAAAGGCAAGAGAGCGATTGGGAGCTCCCATGTTTCCTTGGAGGTTTCACACGTGATGGGAAACGGGTTGAGATTTTTCTCTCGTTAAAAAACCACTCCTGCCGGGCGGTGGTGGCGCACGCCTTTAATCCCAGCACTTGGGAGGCAGAGGCAGGCGGATTTCTGAGTTCGAGGCCAGCCTGGTCTACAGAGTGAGTTCCAGGACAGTCAGGGCTACACAGAGAAACCCTGTCTCGAAAAACCAAACAAACAAACAAACAAAAAAAAAAAAAAAAAAAAAAAACCACTCCTATTTTTGCAGTTCACAAGGGAT